ATAAAGCGTGTCTTTTTACCCTCTTATATGATATAACGGTTTAATGACACCGCAGTTATTCATTAAAATTTCTTTTAGGCAACGTACTGCCGGGGGTTAAAATCACGCATCTGTACAGCGGTTTTTCCATGTTTACAGTCAAACCAGGTCAAGTCTCGTCGCTTCGCCTTTGATAAAACCTCGTTTTACACCCGGAGGGTGGCAGGAGGTGAAATGCGTGTATTGGAAGGTTTCTGTCGGCTTGTAGTGGGTCTTGATGTCGCGGTTTAACGAACTAATGAATTCATTCACGGAAAAATGATTTCGTTTGTTGATTCAAGGGTAATCCAATTCATTCTGCTTTGGCTGATGAGTTTTGTTTCAAAATCTGCCATGAAGATGTTTGCAAAAGCAAAAATGAACAATCCAATTTAGTCATATTTAGCCTCGATTCCATAATCGAATGTTGATTCGATTACGAGATATTTTGGGATAAAGTTTTTATCGTTGTTTGGCCGTTGAAAAATTCAATCTGTTTAAAAACGTGGGTGATAGACTTTCAGGCTAACAAGTTGACCTCTTGTTAGCGGTTTTGTAAACATTTCAGTCTACTTTCACAAATTATTGAAAATTTTTAAACCGCGCGATAGACTTTTAAAAAAATGTTTTCAAACTGAGAATTAGTCAGCCACTTCTTCGCTTTAAGACCCATTGCTGATGCTATCTGCCATACAGTGTTCTACGAACGGAGATGATTTTTTCTGAGAGTCGAGTGCTAGGCAGATACTGTCTCGTGTCAATGTAACTGGATTATTACGCCGACTTCAGGTTAAAATAGAAAATATTTATCTCTTCAAAATATTAATAAAACATGGAGACGTCTTTGCCCAAAGTTCGGTAATGACACCGCGCTAGGGTTAAAATCACGCATCTGTACAGTTTTTTCCATGTTTACAGTCAAACCAGGTCAAGCGTTCCCGTCCTAAAACAAACATTGTTACATGATTCAATAATCCATTCATAAAATGAACAATCCAATAGTCATATTTAGCCTCGATTCCATAATCGAATGTTGATTCGATTACTGTTTTTTGAAAAATTACACTTTCCACAAACCTCAGAATTTTGTGTGTCAACAGACCCAGGCCTGACCTCAGTTTAGAAAACGACGGTCTTAGAAAACACGACGGTCAAACTCAGGTCAGTGTATGTGCGGTGATTGGTGGATTTCGATCCTCGGCCTTTGTCAGTTTCTTTGCGTTTGCGGTCTGTCTATTCTAGCTGTTATTTTGATTAAAGGCAATGAAAAACGCAATCGTAAACGGCAGGAAAAGGGAAGCAAATACGATTGAACACAACAGACAAGAATAAAGAACAGGTAGATTTTGTTCATAAACCAAATCAACATTTGATTATTGAATCGAGGTACAATTTGACCGTTGGATTATTCATTTTATGAATGGATTATTGAATCAACAAACGAAATCATTTTTCCATTAATGAATTCCTTAGTTTGTTAGCGACGGGAACGCTGTAACATTGTAACGTAACATTGTCTTGGCACACGCTAATTATTTTTATGATATACTTTATCGAAACGAAGCTGGATTTTGTTTCTTTTGACGGTAAAAATCTTCATAGACGATGTAAATTTGCAGGCGCACCTGTCTTTCCCATACAAAACTCATATGAATCAGGTTCAATGGGACCAGAAATTAGTGACGTCATTAGTGTAAAGCGCTAATAATACATCGTGTGTATGTCTTTGCCTGACAGATCGTGATATCCGCCTTTGGACAGATCTCTTGATATTTTAAAACTTCTTATAAAACTGTGGATTCGGTGGACCGCGAATACTCTGCGCGTGAAGGAAGACCGTTTGGCATCCTGTTTCCGGATTGAATGAAAACAAGGCTTAAGGGAATAGTCTTTCAAGATGGCGGAAGGTAAGAAGGGCAAGCCGAACGAAAGGAGTGCTCGTTTTTGGTTGCTCAAATAGAATGTGCGAGGCAAAAGGGAAAAATACGTGCTTTAGATTTTTTACATTTTCAAGGGATGTAAAACTTCGTCGAATTTGAAAAAACCGTGTGGCGAGAAAGTCGGGAAAAGACGGTTTCCAAGCAACTGTCAACGCGTTCATTTTCGAACAGATAGGCGTTATTGATTGCGCATTGATGATGGTTATGAAAGTACGGTAGATAAAGGATTTAACATAAGGGATCTTACTGACAAAATTGGGGCAAATAAAGCCACACATTGAGTATTTAACCAGCAACCAACAGTAGAAAGGTTTGTCCGCAAGTTTACAACTTGGGGTCTAAATTCTTCTTCAAAATCCACGTCACTGGTTGCGCTGGAAATACCTTGATCAAAACATGCTTGAGAATGCTATTAAATTTGTAGTTCCGGTTTCATTCCCATTCGAATGCTTCTGTAAAAGACTACGTGAGGGTTCCGTACAACACTTGTTCTTCTATTATTCTTTACGTCACGTGTAAAAGAATGGATTCTTGAAGTACTGTCAAAAAGGAAGTGCTTATACGCGTCTCGCTGCAGTTTTGAAAATTATTTTTAACATTGACTATTCAACACGCTGCTTTCGTTGGAAGCCTTTTCGGACTGTCTTCTCTACATTAAAGCCAAACTTTAAGCTCACCATCCACTCAAACGAAGGTAAGCTTGAAAGATTTTAGTTGATAACAAGAAGGCTATCAGTATATATTTCCAGTTGTATTATCAGCCATGATAATAGCTGTGGTCACACTACAGACCTTTACCTTGGTAAAAGCAATTTACCTAGGGTAAATTCATCAAAAATTTCCCGAGGTAAATTCATTTCGGGTTTTGTTTTACCTAGGTGAAAAATTCTGGGAAGGTCACACTACTGATATCGGCTCCCAAGATTTTCACGCCAGTTGAATTTTTTGGAGCGTAAATTTAAGAAGGCAAGATGCGCAGGGATCGAGCTGATCAAAGAGACGCTTTTTTTTCTTTTATCTTGCTGTTATTTCTTACGCTAATTCAACGTGCAAGGTGAAGAAAGCCGAAGACGTAGACCACTCGTGTCCCCAAAATTTCTTTCACAGCGTGAGCTATGTCCGGTTCTGTCATCAAGACCTTCGCCGATGAGCGTCGATTGGCTAGCAACCTCGGTATTTCATTTTTCCCTAGCTATTGCTTTGGGGTAGCTGTCAAGGGAAACTCTATTGTTCTCGAGACATATCCAAGCCCCAGACGATAAAATTTCCCCGAGGTAAGTTACCTAGGGAAAAATCGGTCACACTTTAAAAATCAAGTTTCCCTAGGTAAACTGTCAACAAGTCGAATTTACCTAGGTAAAAAGTCTGTAGTGTGACCACAGCTAATACAGCGTGGTCAAAATTGCCAAGCATGTTACATAGTGCAACCGTAAACAGGAAGTCGAGCGTTTTAGGCAAAGCGTCTATTATTAAAGATCAATAATACCCGAGCACAGTGATCAATCATGGTGATTTTTAATTAATGCATAACAATGCAAGTGCTACGTGCTACACTTACTTTTAGGAGAAGTCGAAACTGTCTCAATTTTGCGTAATTTGAAATGGTAATTTTCTTTGTTAGTCTTCTCCCTGTGCCACTTTTGCCCGCCAGCACGGCGGTTTTGTACCACGTATATGGCTAGCCGCAAGGGGTCCATTTGATCACGACAACTTTGTTTTCGTTGTCTAACTATTTTAATATTTTAAAAAGCTTATTTCACTTCAACTTATGCCGTCACACAAAAATGTTGACTGACAGTTTGCGAGGACACATTTAGAACGGATGCAAAAATCGTGCAGGCTCCCAGCTCAATTTTTTTTGTTTTAATTCAAACTTTCTATTTATAGCTTTATTATATTGTTTTACTGTTAGTTCCAAAAATCACTGATAGTAGTGATGGCATTGATAATAACTGATAAAACGATTATCATAGTCAACTGAATGTTTCTTTCCCGCAAACTTTCTTTACGACCTTACGTATATGTCCTTTGAACGGTTCCTCCGACCAATTTGCATCTGGTTGGCGTGAAGCCTTGGTTGATTATGTTTGACATCTTTATTATTATCTTTAAACTTCCTTCCTTATGTCTTCCTTCCTTCCCTCTTTCCGTCCTTTCTTTGTTAAGTACAATTCTCCATTTCAAAAGAAAGGACCTCAACCATTAAAGTCAGGGCTACTAAGAGGAAACCATTTTCAGCAAACTTTGATCGGTGAATTCACAAAACTCACTCAACTACTTTCTACTTCTTTTATTGCGAAGAATGTAGATTGTAGATTATCATGTCAGACTAGGTATTATTATTATTTTTCTGGTCGACTTCGCGAGAAAAATATTCTGGTGTAAATTCTATTTTCCGACTACTATATCTTTCACAGTTATGTGCCGCATGTATGTGTTTTTTCGCATGAAGTTTTATCTGAAGAAGGGAAGCGATTACCATACTTTAATTTTAGTCAGCAGTATAAAATGACGGTTTTTTTAAAATATTAAATGTGATTGTTTTATTGTGATGGAAGTTTGCACGTGGGAACTTGCACGATATGGGTGAATGATAAGCACAAGTTTATGTTTTGCTAATTGTCGCACTGAGTGTCATTATTCCTAGGACACATTTTTACTTAATTTGCATTGGCCGGTATATTCTATAGTGGCAAGTTCATATACTCAGGCCAATTTCATTCTCAGTTCGTGCTGACTGTCAAAGGGATCGTTCACCAGTGTACTTAAATATATTGAAGAAGTTGCGCTTTTTAGTTAACATTAGTACATTCCATAAGAGACTTTAATTTTATATCCATTATAATATTCATTATGTTTCAACATCTCTTTTATACACCCCCAGTTTACATCATAAGAGGATTTCATGCCCGATTAATTATTGACAGAGAATAAATATAATACCTTTGGTATTAGCAGCTGCTCTGCTGCTTGGCCTCAGATATTTAAAGGGGATGACAACGAAATCATTTTCATTTGGCCACAGGTTTGCGAGTCAAGAAGATGGGGCTGGTACTAAGGCAGAAGCCACACAAGTCAAGCCTTGAAATTCACGGCGATGACAATGAGATTTTGAGAGTTTTGAATGCGCACAGACATTCTAAAATATTATGCGATGTCAAGTTGATGGTAGATGGTCAAGAATTTCCAGCTCATAAAGGAGTTCTCGCGGCTAATAGCAACTTCTTTCTAGCCATGTTTACAACGGAAATGATGGAGAAAGACAAAACAACCGTCAGTGTGGAGAGTGTTAGCGCAGCGGCCATGGAAAGGCTTCTAGAATACATGTACACTGGACAGATTCAGATCCACGTTGAAAATGTTCTTGAGTTGTTAGAAGCGTCCAATTTTCTTTTCATGGAAAAAGTGAAGGGAGCCTGTTGTCAGTTCCTAGAGAGCATCATGGACGTTGAAAATTGTTTGGCAATTTTCTCGATTGCTGATGTTTATTCCTGTTATGGCCTGCGTGGGGCTGTCATGCAATACATTAACCAAACGTTTACCGAACTTGCTAAATCAGAAACGTTTTTGAAGCTAGGCAAGAAAGATGTCATTAGGTTTTTGTCAAGTGATGACATTCAGATTGAAAACGAAGGACAGCTACTGGATATCGCACTGAACTGGATAAATCACGACCCCGAACGTAGGGCAAGCTGCATTAATGACCTTCTAGAAATGCTTCGCTTGCCCTATATACATCAATCGCACTTTCAAGTTAAATTGGACCAATTTAATGAACACCATAGGCGAGATGGCAAGAAAATAACAGCATGGAATAATAATACTTGGAAGACGAATGCGAGAAAATCCTACCGTCGCGTTGAAGTGATTGTGGTAACAGGTGGTTGTGATAGAGGAACCATCCTCGACAGCGGAATTTGTTTCATCCCTGCTGTGCAAAAGTGGACGCAAATACCAAACATGCAAGTTCCTCGGTGGAGGTAAAGTTAACTTTGCTAGATTTCTCATTTGTTCCTTTATTGTCAAATTAAAGGAAGGTTCGAGTAACTCTATTTCTGTACGTAGACGAGCAACCACGACACCCCAGAGGAATGAGTACGAGTTTAATAACCTCAAATCCAAAATTTGGGGCGGCGTATTTTAATAATGTAATAGATTCAGCTTATTGAAATTAACATACATTAATTCCGAATTTTTATTAAAAGTTGTAGTTCGCAACCTCCGTTCGACATTCGCCTTTCGCCATTCTCTCCTACAACCTTTTTTGAAAAAGCTGTATATTTAAACAAATTTGCCTAATATTTCGCTTTAAAAACAAACCTTCTTTACGGGCTAAAAGGAAAATGAAGATAAAACTAAAAGTCGGTCTTTAAAATAAAAGTTTGAAAATATGAAATAAGAACAATAGATAGTCATTGGTGTAGGAGACTAGGTAGTATCGCATATCAACGAGCTTCGTCACGTCAATTCAGTAATTATTCCTAGAGGAGATAATGTGTTCCCTTTGTGTATTAAATGAGCCTCCCTAGCCTTTCTGACTGCGTCACGGTTGCTGCGTATAAGTTCAAGTGGAGGGGAGGGGGCCGGACAATACCCACTGACAAGCGTAAGCCTAGATTACTGCATTGAAAGTTGTGAAATACAAAAAAAATTCTCTGGAGTAGTCTCTCCCCCCTCCCTGACCTGACTGGAGGCTGAAAATTTAAAAGCTCAATATAATGAACTAAGAGAGTTATGTCATTTCTTAATCCATCGTTGTTTGTTTCCTTCCTTTAAAGGCATCAAATGGTGGCCTCAAACGACCACATATTTGCCATCGGTGGACTGAGAGATGTTTGTATCAAGGGTCCTGTGATTCCTTTCGCAGAGACATTCAATGGTGAAACCAACTCATGGGCCCGTGTCACACACCAGCCAGCCATACATGACGTGGAATTTGACTCATTCTGTGCAGCCTCCATTGAGAGCGGAGTGTTACTGGTGGGAGGAGTGGACCTCAGAACAAACCGCTGTACTTCCCGGGTCTCCTGTGTTCAATTCAATGATGGCTGTTCAAACGTTTCACAGTTGTCACCGCTGATATTTCCCAGAGCTGGGCATTGCCTTGTGACGTCAGGAGAACGCGCGTTTGCCATTGGTGGATTTCAAACTCCATATACACATGGTAGACCAGACGGAATTAGAAGTGTTGAAAGCTATGATATACGGCAAGGTTAGATTTTTATACATTACAGTCAGCGTTTTTTTTTGTATAACAGGGGCGTGGCCAGGATTTTTCCTCTGGTACGCACAATTAAAGGATTGATGGTGATCCCGAGGTGAGAACAACGCGTTCGAGCTTGCTATCTGCGCACCATTGTCCCACTTTCTCTCTAAACAGATCATTTTATGAATCATGTCACTTCGCTAGAAACCAACATTCAGATGTGGAAAAAAGTATGTTATTAAGCTGAAACATATTTTAAAGAAACACTCAGGGTTAAATGAGTTGAGTCAAACTTTGCTGTTTAAAATAATTTTCTTTTATATTAAAAGGCGTATTGTTATCATCATCATTATTGTTATTACTGTTATCTCTTTTATTTTATTATTGTTATTATTATTATCTTCGACTTATTCAGCTACGCCCCTGTATAACACATGCGTACCAAGCCAAAGAATTGCAAAAAAAGTGTTGCTACCTTTCCTTAGCCTCGAATTTACCACAATTTGTTCTGATGGCGCATGGCAGACTGGCCAAACAGAAAACGATGAAAAAATATCTCTTGGTGGTCTGCCAGAGTTATGGAAGACACTCATTGGTTTTGTACCTGTACCTTTCAAAATTATGTCGAACATTCAGCTTTCTCTCAACCAAACAAACCACCTCCCTTTGGTTTTTGATCGGCCGGGACTACAAGCTAGTTTTTTTATTAGTTTTCTGTTTGTTTCTTAGATGTTTGGATTTGTGTTCAACCCATGAATGAACCGCGTCACTCTGCCGCTGCAGTATCATTGAATGATCAAATCTTCATCTGTGGGGGCTGTGATGGAGAAAACGTGTTACAGTCATGTGAAGTGTACGACACAAAACTCAACAAGTGGCAACACCTTCCTCCAATGAAGAGCTCCCGGATGAGACATTCTGCCGTGGTGCATGCCGGTAAGGTTTACGTATTTGGAGGTGTGAGTGTTAACAGTGGAGGCATTGCTTTGAAGTCTGTCGAATGCTACCATCCCGAAGAAAACCGCTGGACAAAAATACCTGATATGCCAAATGGCAGATTAGATCACCAGTCTCACATTTGTAGCATTAGATACAAGTTCGTTTCTCATGTTTTTGACGTGTCATCATGACAGTTCAACGAACAGTTTCTAATTATACTGTTGAATCTTAGTTTATTTTTGCATAGCAATATCGAACTTATATCGTTTAAATATATAATTAAATTCAGGCTTAAATAACCTAATCCTGAATAATGACCTGTTTACACCAACGCTTATACCTAAGCATATTTTAAATGATATTATTTAATTACACTAATAAAATATTTTAAAGCCTTGGTGTTTCCAAGACATTAGACGCTCAAGTCTAAAACAAATGACAGACAAGCGCGGCCTTACTACTACCTCTAAGAAGGTAATTTAGATCCATAAATATACATTTTTGCAGCATGGTGCTATGATATATGCCTAGTTTCGAAACTGATGCTAAATAAAGTGTAAAAGTTGTAATACTCTTTCAAAATCAAAATCAGCTAAATGAAGATTTATGTTGCTTTACTTGAGCGCGGTCACAAACACCCCCTTAACTTTTTTTTAGCTTATAAGTACTCCGTTTCCATGGAAATTAAACCTGACAGAAAAAGCTCCATTGAAATATTTCTCATTCATGACCCCGAATAAGGAGAATGTACCTTGATGAACTCTATTTAATCGTCTAAAAATTGCAAATTTCAAAAAATGATGATTTTTTACCGTGGTGGATGATACCTTAAATGATCCTATTGAACGTAAGCGATTTGAGGCCAGATTTACTACTGTGACGTTAGTCTGCAATATGAAAATCTGCGCCGCAAGTAAACTTAAAATGCAGTTATTCATAGGCGGATCATGTACACTTTATTTGAACTTAAATAATTTGCTGAGTAATTTCTGTAACTTTCTGTTTTGTATCTCGTGGTTAAATTTTAGCAACCAAAACAACATAAGTAGGGGTTTATCCTCAATAAAAGTATTCACGAGCTGGTTGCGCACCGCCTGCTGGTACTTTCTTAAAATTGAAGGCAAGGCTCTGATCGGACAGCTGAAGATTGCTAATTTACTCGCCCAATATTTCGACTAGACATAACTAGTCTTCATTTTTGTATTGTTTAACAGTTTATTCTATTCTCACTTACCTTTTTTAGCCCCTGATGAAGACTAGTTTTGTGTAGTCGAAATATTGGTATAGGCAATAGCATGATTTGTAGTTATATTTGGTATAAATACCACGAGTGATATTTCAAAATTGTTTTACGTAATTTCATGAGCCGTTAGGCGAGTGAAATTTGATACAATTTTGAAACATCACTGGTGGTATTTATGCCAAATATCACGTACAAATCATGCTATTATTTGTTTATACTACTACCCACAAAAGGATACCTAATTTTCACATGTAGGTATTTCAAATTAAGCTGAAATACCACTGCTGTAAGCTAATCAAGTTGCAGTAATTTCTCATGTAGTAGAATAAGGCAAATTAATTACCAATCAATAGCTGTCCGATCAGCCTTGCCTTCAGTTTTAATTGCTGTTCTATATTGATGATCATGAAACTACAGATCCGCCTTTCCCTCGCTGCTGTTTGTCCAAGCGGTCCATGCAACAGCTGGTAATTTCTTTGCGCGCGTGAGCAAAGATGCCTTTCGCTATCCGTCAACTTGACTTTGCTGCTGAAAACCATGCATTGCGTGCCAACCTACAGATAATTCATCTTTGACACCCATCTGCTTACAGATAGTTGCCTGAATTATCAGCTATAACTTGCTCTGATTGTCAGAAACTGTAGGCTCCAAACCAGCTGAGACCACAGGTAGTGAGAACAATTTATAATTAAGACACCGCGCGGTTTATCACTGAACTACTGGGACTAAGCGCTACTGGGAAAAAGGTTACGCTGAGAGGCAGATAAATATAAAACATTGCCTTCATTATTACGACCAGCTTTCTTCTTTTGCTCCTTTTTACTTCGCTACAAAATCGCATGAAACAGAGTGGTGACGCAAAAATATAATTATCTTTAAGCTAAGTAGGGCAACAATTTCCCCGGACTTTATAGTGATACCCACCCTGACGTCACCTATTTACGGCAAACGGCAAACGTGGTTTGTACCACGTGACCAAGTTTTCTCTAATCGGCTGGTAAATTTCTTTACTTCTACCCCAAAAATGAGTTACTTCACGATATTTTTGTTTATAACAATTGTTTTAGATTGCTTTTAGCTGCACCTTTTCTATTTTAAGAAATTCTCAACTTAAATCTGACGTTTGCCGTTTGACGTAATGATCACCCAGCTAGCTTAGCTTTTTAGTTAGTTTGGGTGTCCAACAACTGTATGTATTGTGATTAATAATAATATTTCTGTAAATTCTTTTAGTTTTCTGTCTACAGAAGAAATAAACTTGTTGTTTAACTTGTTGTTGGTTTGCAGTTGGGCTTTGTGATAGACGAGTCCTCCAACGACAGTACGTTTCCTCTATCTAATTCAAAATGCCTCCTTATTCTGCTTCTCAACAATCCACATCCTGACCCAAACACTACGATTTCTACGGTTATTACCAGTTTTCTCACCCATAAGAACAATATAATTGAAACTGCTTTATGTTTTGTCTATAAAAACGCTGTGTTTGATTACGTCTTATAGTTGCGTAAGCGGTCTAAACGGCGTTGTGCGAATTGCTGCATTTTTCAGTTTCGTGCTATACTGAAAAAAAAGGAGAAACGGGAAACAATGGAAAAAAGTAGGCATTAACACCTCTAAAATAATGGGTCAATTAGCGCATGGATCTTTATATTTTGAACTCGCATGCATGTGGATATAACGTTATAGGACCGTCCTTATTACGTTATTGTAGTAAGAAACCTAACCACATTTGCACCAATATCAGAGAGAATGAAATCAACGCTTATTAATGAACACTTGTTGTAACGTACTGTTAGTTAGGTGTATATGACGTTAAATAACGATTGATTTAGTGTTAATTAACTCGTTATCCTCCTCCTTACTTCTTTATTTCATTATACGAAGTGCTTAATCTTTGGGCAAAGAAATACTAAACTTACCAAACTACTCACTGCGCATTTTGTTAATCAGCGAACGCGGCAATCAACATGGCTCATAGCTTTACCCCAGCGCCTATAGTGTACGTTTCAAGAAAAGAAACATTCAGTGCCAGCCATAGGCTTTTCAATCCACAACTCAGTCAAGAGGAAAACGAATTTCTGTTCGGAAAATGCACCAATCCTAACGGGCATGGGCATAACTACAGAGTGAAAATCACGCTGCGCGGAAAACAGGATCATAAGACCTCTATGGTTATGCATCTGGGAAAACTGACCAAGCATCTCAAGTCAGTCATTGATCCACTGGATCACAAAAATTTGGATCTAGATATTCCTCACTTCAAGAACGTAATCAGTACAACGGAGAATGTTTCAATATACATTTGGAAGGAGATGCAGAAACTTTTGCCGACCGGCGTCTTGTACGAAGTCAAGGTCTCTTCCACAGACAAGAACAGTTTCACTTACCGAGGAGAAAGCCAGGGTGACCATCAAGGTTAATCTTATCCGAGGTGTTATAACAAGGTTCTCTGAAAGTGGACTTGACTTTGTAAAATAGTACAACATATTTTAGATGTTTTTTATTCTTTTCGTCTTCCCGGCACTGTGAATGACACAGTTATTGGTGCGTTCTTGTAACACTTGTATAACAATTTTATCAATTGAACATTGTGCTTTTCGTGGACTCTATTCTCTTCGAAGAGAATGTTCGAGGTAGTTTTTTATTATATATAAATTCAACTCTCTCAACGATGGACACCGCTGGGACCGTCTTAAAGAGATGTCCGTCTTATAGAGAGTCAGATAAAGAAAGTAAAGACAGGGACCAGCTCTAGGTGTCCGTTTTATAGAGGTGTCCGTTACGAGAAAGTCAACTGTAGTCCCAATACCGAGTGGTGTATATACAAAGTAAGAAGATAGGTATTTTGTCAAGGCACTGGTAAGGCCGCCGAAAAAGAACTGACGAGAAATTTTATTCCAACTGAACTTTGCCCATTAAATATTTATCATCCTGAAGAAAACAAAATAAAATAAGAGTGTTCGTGTTCGCTGAGAAGGGTGACCCATCTAACATTCACCGTCAGTACATTATTGGGCTATTGCTTCGTTCGGATAATATCCCACTCAAAAACTCATAACTAGTTTCACAAAAAAGGAGCAACAGTAATGTGTATTGTATGTTGGGCACAGATGACTGAATAACCTCAATTTGTACGAAAAGGGGGGCGTATTTGGTCCAAAATTTGTTGTCATGGTCAACAAAGTTAACACGGGAAAATTGCATCTTCATTGTGTTTAAGTTATCGACAACGGCCATTCTTATAATAAGAGCTGGGCAGTATCGGTGTACCACACGACATACCGAAATAATTCCCGGATATATTTAGTTGACGTGTCCCCGATGCCTCCAAGCATGTTTAATTGATTTCATTGATTTTTACAAGGATTTGCCAAGATGTTACAAGTTTCAGAGGTCTGTATGAGGCTTTTCTAGCTTAACCTAACAAATTTCTGCACCTCAGCCTAAATTTTCTAAGTTTGTCGTTTGTAATCATCATTAATCTACTCTATCAGCATTTGCTAACTCGCACAATTTGTTTTAAATAGTTTCGAATAAGTAATAAAGACAACTTCACTAAAAATAAACTGAACTGCATTACTTTATTTAATGTTGTAACACTGTTATTCAAAATAATGAAAACACTCTTTGACTATAAAAAAGTTTGCGTTTTAATTCTACAGACTACAATATGCCGGGTATGACATGTCACTCCCTACAAGAGTGATACCGCGGATTTAACTTACAATCCATGATAGATTTTCCGAGAGGCATGAACGAAAAACGTATTACTTCTATGCTTTCTATGAGAACTTCCCTTTATGTAAGCATCACAATCAGGGCAGGGTAGAAGCTGTGGGCAACTAAAGGTTTATTGACATTGAACTTTAAATGATAGATCGATATTTCACACAGAAGGAGACGCTTATGATAAACTTTGTCCAAACGTCAACTTTGTATCTCCTCAAACAGAACAGTTTCAAATTCTAAAAACTTGTAATGTATTTAAACTCTTCTTGTACGTGCAGCACTCAATGTCCGTCTTAGAGAACTGTCCGTCTTATAGAGATTCAACAAAAGGGAGTAAAGAAAAGCAAGGACCAACTAAAGGTGTCCGTTTTAGCGAGGTGTTCTTTAAGAGAGAGTTGAATGAATTTGGATTTGGCGCCTTACAAAAGAAGATCAAAATTTTGTGCCACTCGTTAGATTTAAGTCTTACATGTACCTGTCAACCAGCAGTACGTTAATTCAATACAGTTGTGCGTGTAGCCCTTAATTTAAATCGTACGTCAACGGCGATTTAGGGGAACTAAACAGGCAATGTCACCAATTTTTTTTGCCCTTTTTCGATGGTAGTTGGGGGGGAGTTTATACGTCAGCCAAAATACTTCCTTCTTGCGAGAAAAATACTCACGGAGAAAAAGGGCGGAGATCAAAATGTACTTTGAATATAGTTTAACTTACGCGATTTTTGAAAGCCGAATGCTTACAGTTCTCTAGTTTCTGGTGCTGTTGACTAGATTGAGAGGTCGCCATCTTGAATTCATAAAAACCGAGCGAAATCTGGGGACGTTATTTTCGACTCGTGCCCAGTTGAAATGGTGGAGTCTTGAACTCAGCGATCTGCACGAAATATTTCACAAAAATAAATAGTTCAATTTCCCTTTTTATACAACAGTAGCCTAAACGTATTTAGTTCGAAACTAGACAATTTAATGTTCCCCCCGGAAAACGTGTCTTTTCAGAGTGAGAGCAAAATGGATGACATTGCCTCTTTTTACACTAGCTTTTTTCTTTGTCTTTTTTAAAAATCAGAATTGGGTTCACTTTCTCTCAGAGAAAACTTTGAAAAGTCTGATAATTTGTTTCTTCTACTAGAATCATGTTCCGTACACATCAATAATCGAAATGACAAAGCAGAAACTCACTTTTGTCGTCTACAAAAAATAATATAAATTTTCTTGCAACAATTATACAGCATTTATCGAATGATTTCATGGTCAAATGTGAACTATACAAGAAACATAAAAAAACGATGAGAACCCAACTTTAACTATAGGACAATTTTGTTTTCCACAATACATGTCTTCTCTGAACTAAAGAATCTTTGTTTTTATAATAATAAATCTGCGCCTTAATTCTATGGGTACCGCTCTCTAAACTTCCGTCCCAGGAAAGTGTGAATCTTCAAGAACACTAGCAAGCCAGCCCGCTAAATTGACCTCTTTATGTTCAAATCCAAGAATAAAGGGATGCTTCTGTTAAACAAAAAAGTAACAGTGTTTAAGGTTTGGTAGGAAAGTACCCTGAGTATGCTTCTTGTCGGCCGACAGATGTTCGGCCGAAGTCCGGAGCCACGAGAGACGACGCCGAAACGGCGCAGTAGTCTCTGGCACGAAGGGTAGCAAGAGAGAAGGTACCGAGCATAATACGAAATGTATCTACTGGCCGTTTCAGTGCAGAGGTGAGTATCGACGTTAGCGCTGAAGGTACAACAGCACTGCACTTATAAAGAGGATAATATTAGGGAAAATGAGAATGTAATTATAACATTACGCTGAGATGAAGAAAGAAGAAGGTTTGTCGCTAAAATTTCAGCTGTAACGTCTTTGGCCGCGGGAGCAAAAAACACATAAAATCAAAAGGGTTTTCCATCGATGAGGCTAAATATTTGAGTGTTGATCCTTGTTCGCTGGGATAACATTAATATCGAACTGACTTTGGATATATGAAGCTTCGACCGTTGAGGCAAAAAAAAAGTCCGAATTAGGCAAAACTTTTCGCAAGCCACATGTACCTGATTTAGCCAGCGTAGTAGACGCCAGTCTTTTTAGGGCGAAGGAAAATCTCAAAGCGCATCGAAATTACACACCATACAGTTTAACAAAAAAACAGTACTTACCAATAATTTATTATACTTTGGTCTGTGTCTGTAGTCCTTCACCAAGCTAAAAAGATGGGAAAGTACATCTCTGTTATAATATTGCTGATTTACAGAAACTTGAAGCAAACCAACAAAATAGGACTTGATTGTTCACAGTAATCACTGAAAAAAGTACAGTGTATTAAGTTCAGCTTAGCTTAGGTATTGAATACAACACATTCTTCATATTTTTTTTTTGAATGGGTCGCTACTTTTTGCGATATGGTCTCTTTTCGAGTTTTAATTGAGGGGCAAAATTTTTCATGTGGTTAAAAGCAATTCGGAACTGAGTTAACAACAAAGATCAGCCGATATGCTCATGGCGGTCAGCGGCAGCTGAGTTCGGCGCATCCTCCGAGCATTCTCGGTCGTAGCCTCAAAGCCTCAAAGCTCACTTAACCATTGTGCGACGCATGTACTATCTCACATGTACCTTGTATGGTCAGTAAGTCTTACTGACATGATTCAGGGGCACCCAACGAGAAAAAAGTTAAAAACCACTTAAACACAACATTGTTAAACGTATTTTTAGTTTTTAAACAGTAGATATAGGCATTTTTTTATCCCATAAAAATTTTTCATCTGTTCGGATTTCCTAGCTGAAAGTCTAGAGATCCGATAATTATAGGGATCAAAATTTACCTTTTCGAAGATTTCAGCCAGAAAAAAGGCTCCCGAAAATTCTAGGTGACCTTTTTAGGTTAAAAATCCGTTAAAAATGGGCAAGGGGAGGCAGGCAAGCAACAAACTTTACAACAAATGTTCCGAAAATTCTAGATCTCAAATCGTCTTCCGAACAGATATTTTCCGAAAATTGACGTTGGGTGTCCCTGATAATAAAAAATTGATCTCCACTTACCAAGTCCTCACGAATGTATTGAGGTTCTTGGAAAATTTCCCGTCCTTAGGTAGCTCAGGGGGATCCTCACTCATGACACGAGACAACACTTCAAACTCTGTGGTGCAGTTCCTGTATGGAAACTCTCCTGTGGCAAGCTCAACCTGAAACAGAGGAACACAACATACAGCTGCAAAGCTACTGTAAATAAATAGAGAAAGACACCAAACCACCATGAATCTTTTGAGTAGAGTTCTATGTAAGGTATTCTGTACGCAGCAGGTCGTTTGCGCGTGTGCTAGCTGTAACGAAATGTATGCATGTTTTGTTCGTTTTGCTACCGTAGCAATTTACACTACAATGCACAACAGGGCAAAAACGGGCCAGATAATTCGTTAAGGTAAAAAGAAAAAAATTAAAAAAAGAATGAGCAAAGACTGCTGAACACTGTTGGAATATAAGACAAACAGCACAAAACATTTGTTTAATAATAAAAAATTAAAGTTTATGTCTTCCTGCTCATACTCAATGATTTTGTTTTGTCACCTCTACGTCCTGCGTCCCTGACGCACAAAAAAGCGCCAAAACGCAAAAATTAATAATTCATTGGATGCGTCGCCGGGGACGCAAACATCGACCGATCGATCTGAAGATGTTTTTGTAGAATATCCTGTTCGTGTGATTTCTGTGGCTGTTCTTGCGGCTGTTGTTTAACGAGGTATATTTCTTTTAGTCTTTGTTTTGCTTTACGATAGAAGGAGATATTTATTCCAGTAAACTGTAATACAGAGTTTTGTAGTCTGTCTTCAGATTAATTGTCTGCATGGTTACATAAAGGCCCCAAAAAATTCAGTTTCGAACTCATTGTTTTTTGAACTGTGACTCGATGGTTCTGGACTAGGATTCATGATTTTTTGCGAGATGAGTCCTAAGACTCACCAAAACTATTTGTTAAAAAATCACAGTCATACATACAGGTCTTATGTATCGGTCAAATCGAAGCTTCAACATGCCCCCCCCCCCCGGGCAACCCCCCGGGCATTTGACTTTTTTGAAAATTATTGTTCAAATTCCCTCCTACCCGGGCCAAAATGCCGTTCAAATGACCCACACTAGGGTCCATTCAGGTGATCAAATGCCCCCACCCCGGGGACATTTCACAGGCACAAAAATGACAGAAAGACGGTGGAAATGTTCAGTTGTAGAGCAAATTCTTTATAAATATAACAAAAACTGAGAAACACTGTTAGCGTATTTACTACGAACAAAAGTCTTATGCAAAGCGGCGGAAATCGCTGCTACAAGATAACTGAATGCTCAGCTTTTTTTCGTCATGCAACATACAAAGCGTTCTATAAAAAAAAGATCCCACCTATTGAGATTACTACATGACATGCATCATCGCTCACCTTATTAATTAACATACTTGCAGTAGGTCAAAGTAGTTGACCTGAGCTTTTTATTTTATTTTATGTTGTTGTATTGAATCGCCGGTATAGGTATTGTATTTCATTGTAAACACAACAATAAAATACAGTCATACATTCAAAGCCTGAATCCAATATTAAAAATTTTAAAATTTAAATACTTCAAATATGGCACAGAGCTTGTTTAAGCCCTTTCCTTGCAACCAATTGGCCACAAAGGCACAATCTTTTCCACGAAAATCCTCTAACACCGCGTCCCCCATGATAGCTCGCCACACCAAAGATTTTACATGAAATCGAGGGTGCAGTTAAAATCCCCCACCCCTAAAGCATGGGGATCAAATTCCCCACCCCCTGGAAGACTCTGATAATCAAATTCCCTCCCCCCCGGGATGGCAAAGGTGTCAAATGCCCGGGGTATGCCCGGGGGGGGGGGGGCATGTTGAAGCTTCGATTTGACCGATACATTAGCAACATATCGGTAAGCATGCACAGATAAACCTTCTGAAGTTGGGTATACTAACACATACAATTGAACATTTCTTTAACAAACTCTGCGGAATTATTGTCTACATAAATTTGCTCTCCTCACCAGAGTTATTCCCAGGCTCCACACATCTGCTCTGACATCATAATCTGGATTTATTGGATCCGGAGGGTCAATACGCTCAGGCTGTTGAGACATGTGCGATGGTAAGAATTACATATCACCTTTATAAGGGAAACAATGTCTTGACCCGTCCCTTACACGTTTTGATAACCTTTTGATATAAACCAGTTAATGAACCACTGAAGCTGCTAGAAAGAGCCACTTAACCCTTTAAGCCATAAGAGTGATCAGCATCAAATTTCTCCTTGTAATATCAATGCTTTGTAAAACAGAGTGGTCATGAGAATTAAGGACATGATCACACAAGATATGAATTTGCTTGATATTTTATCAACTTCTCCCCACTACTTCTGTAGGAAATGAATAGGGGCAACAAATGAGAATTCAAATTTTGACCTTAGGGTTTAAAGGTTTAAAAGCTAGAGCCCCCATATCCACATATTTCCTTATTATTAGTTGAGAGAATGTGATCCTTTAAATTGCCATTTATTTTTATTAACTGTCATAACCTTTTATCTTGATTAGCTTTTGATGTTGTTAGGAGAAAACTGATTTTGGTCACTCTCAGGAAAAGCTCTAATGACAACCTTAGCACAAAACTTACCGCCATATAAGCCGCACACCCAGCACTTCTTGTTTTGGCTTTAGAATCCACCAATCGACCACTTATGCCAAAATCACAAAGTTTCACTGCACCGTTCTGATCCAGCAATACATTGGATGGTTTCACATCTAGCAATGAACAGAATAAAGTCTGCACACTCTCATCGGAGAAACAACAGAACAAGTTTATTTATTGTCCTTTTTATAACCCTACGGTATGCCACAATAAATTTTGACCACCCTTACTATTCTTTCTTTAGTCAACTTCAGTAATACAATGTATGACCACCTCATTAATACAACAAACTCTTCATGACTCTTGGTTTGTCACATACATGTAAATGGGGTTCAAGGTGTATTTCACAAAACTGGACCTAAGTAAGCATACAGACTTGATGTACACTCCACTTGAAAGTTTTGTTTTTTTCACTTACACAAATTATTTAGAGGACTACATTAGGAATGAGAATAATAATATTTTTATAAGTCTTAAAAACTACTTTAGACATACATGTACAAAAGTACTACTTCAGAGAAGCCTACAGTGACTTGGCTTAAGTTATCTTTTACTATCTACATTTTATTTCCTATTTTTATATCTTGCTTGTTATTAGCAATGCTAAATTACAAATTAAGTGTTTACAAGCCACCTCTCTCTGAGGCAGACACCTTTGGAGCCAGCACTATATTGTGTCTGTCTTACAGAAATGTCCACCTCATAGAGAGTCAACTAAAAGGACTAAAGAAAGGCAGAGACAAAGTGTAGGTGTCCGTTATAACGAGGTGTCCATTAAGAGACAGTTGACTGTATCGAAATTTCGGATCAAGTTAGGTTTCTGGGAAACTGCCCACCTACCGCTCCCCTAAGCCAAAATTAACACTTACTTCTTGTTTAGGGCAAAAATGTTGATTTAGGGGAGGGGTATAGTACCGCTCAAAAGTAAGTTGACAGTCACTCACGTCTCGATCCTCAAGACGCAAGACTCGATTCTCGATTCTTGAAACTTTCGCGGATTGAGTCTCGCGTCTAGAGAATCGAGTCTCAAGTTTCGATGATTGAGGATCGAGGATCGAGGATTGAGTTTTAAATTTTGAGTCGAGAAAGCGCTCTCTCTAAAAGTGTACACTTACGTTTCATTCTAAAAATCACCGCTCCGCGCATTGGGTGAGACTCGTTCGCTTTCGTATAAACGAAGTTTGCGCTTTGAAAGCGAAAATGTTCGCTTCTGGTCTCCTGTTAATAGTCCTTTTGAAACTTGCTTTTTAGAACTGAAGGCAAGACACATATTTGTAATAGCTTTCAAAAAGTAAACAACAACGAAACAACTTATACTAGAAACGACCGTATTAATATCGCTCATGCACAGTATACAGCCGCAATTCTTTGTTCTTTTGTCTCCAGACTCGATCCTCCCATCTTGAAACTCGAAGTGTTCAAGCTTCGAGACACGAGGATCGAGTCTCAAGTTTCGAGCTTCGAGTGTCAACTTACTTTTGAGCGGTACTGTAGGTGGGCAGTTTCCCAGAAACCTAAATTGATTCAAAATTTCAAGAGGTCTACATGATTTTATCAAACTAATGTTTATGTAAGTACCTTAAAATTAAAAAGCATTATTTTTTATTAGTTGTGTTGTCCAGGTGAAATCTTTTGTGGACTATGTGATTGGATGTGATTTGTAAGACAATAACTGATCTCAAATTGCATCCAATCACACAATTGCAATGGCATTATTGTCTGACTGGTATAGTTACAGTCTATGTACCTCTGTGCATGACTCCATGAGTCTCCTTGAGATAATTTAAAGCTTTGACAATCTGAAACAGAATACACACTTACTGCAAACATGTTGTACATAATGATTACAATAATTTAATATAAAGTTACCCTCACTGCTAAAGAACTGATTTTCCCTGGCCTTGCCATGTTCGTATAGGATCACAGAATTAAACAAAATCTGAGAAAAACATGGACACATGTACATATACAAACGAAACATCTCATACATCAATACAGTGAAGGCCTCCCCCGTAGGAGATACATGCATAAATAAACAATGTAAAATCCACCGTGTGACATAAAGTTTCCACATGAGCTTCTTTATGTGGATTAAAGAACTTCTGGGGCATTTGGCACTAACAAATTTCAGCTAATCTGGATTTCAGACTTATAATTATACAAGTTCTATTCTCAAATTTTCACCAATAAAGTTGTTTTTAAATTCAATGAAATACAAGTATCTGCCTTGCTTAAAGACCGCAAAAAGTGTACACTTCATTGCCTAAAATGTTGCTGAGAAAATTGTGAAGAAAACTGTAATGTACGTAATATACTGTTACATGTACTATTATTTGAACAGTCAATTAAACGAACTCACTGAGTACTGGTTACAAACTCTGCTTGTATGTTACTTGGAGCACATCATTAAAAGACCTTTACAGCTTGTATGTTTTGTTTTTCCAATTCATACCACTTGATATGTTCTTAAGGTAATTTGCCTTTTATCTTTTCATAAATCATGCATGCATGTGGATAAGACAACACTCTTTTGAAAAAGAGAATTTTTTGGGCTATCATCACATGGTCTGTAGTAGGAAAACAAAACATACATTGTACATTTTACATGTAAAAACAGATGAATGTGAAATTAATTTTGCAAAGTTACATGTATTTAAGTTCAACAGTATTAAAGACTCCTTACATGTAAATGACAAACTGTTACATGTAAATGCATTAGACACAATACTTACAGAAACTGATATTTTCCCCAACACCTCTTCTGGAATTGGTCCACTAAGTTTCTTCATTAACTTATCCAGGCATGTTGTCATCAATTCCATACAAATAAACACATCAGACTACCAAAATAATACACAAATACATGTAAATAAAACCCCGATAAATTAAAATAGTACTCATGCTTCAATAAGGTTCTAAATCTACATTTAGGCAAATTCAGCTGAAAAAACGTGGACATTTCCATGATGGCATCATTTTGAAGTATCAGAAATAGCATTTCTTTGCACAGAAGCAAAATCCTGAAGCTGCATTCTGATAAGGTTGCAGTTTTAGTGATAGTCATAACTGTAACAAAATTGTCAAATCTGATTGGCTGTCAACTGCCCTGATTTCAGCCTTAATTGGACACTTTAATAGGACAGTATGCGTCATGCCTAAGAAATTGGGCAGTACGCGCCATCAAGCGCGCACTTAAATGGCTTTTTTTTTCAATGTTAGCAAAACAAAATGTCGAATTTCCTGTGTTTTGATGTAAAAAATAGCCTATTATATCACAAACTTTGTTAAAGTTATGATTAATTGGTGACAGAACTTCGTGTCGTCCAATTCGGTCTGTAATCATACTCGTGATCAAACAAATCGGATTTCCCCTACACGGTCGTCCGATTTTGTTAATCACTCCTATGATTACAGACCGAATTGGACTCCACTCAGTCCTGTTACCATTACAAAGACAACACCGAAAAAACAGCCTGTTTTAAAACGGGATACAAAAATAATAAATGAACCAAAGTCAGTAACCTTCAAAATTAACAACAAGGGACTCACTCTGGAAATATATGATCCCAAGCAATTGACAATGAACGGGCAGCTGTGGCACTTCATAACTACTTCAAGGTCCATTAGAATTCTCTTCTGTTCTTCTTTGTTTTGACTCCGTCGCATTTTCTGTTTGCAGGTAAAAGTTATCATCGTATGTAAGTTAGGCAATGCAATTCAAACTGTTACAGAACACAGCACTACAAGCACTGATAGACGATGTAAACATTTGAACGACTATGCGACTGTACAACATCGTTCTTTTGGAAAAAAAATTGTCTAATGAACTGTTTGCTTTTTTAACTGTCATGGATGTTCCAGTCAATAGGGCTATTCATTGTATACATGGAGTTCTAACCACACCTGCTTAAGGAAATTACTTTAATTGAGGAAGTCAAGTATTGCTAATTGCAGGGAAACAGTCTATGGTCTGTACCTTGACTGCCATGACATCTCCTGTTTGTTTATGCTTCATCTTGCACACTTGGCCACATGTTCCACTTCCAATCTCTTCAATGGTCTCCAAATCATCAATAGTAAAACCAAAGCTCTGATGGACATACAAAAACACTGTACTTGTAAGCTTTATAAAAAAAATTCCATTACATGGCATTAATGTTTGTTGTATACTGCATATTATAGTTCAATTTCATCCTTGGTTCGTATTTTTTTTCCCTTTGTTTTTGGGTATGGTAATGCATGATAATGAGTTTAAAACAAGGGGAAATACAATAATTTAAACCAAGGATAAAATTGAACCACCAAATATATATTTACAGTGCTCCTGCCTTAGGAAAATTAATTGAGACAACATGAAAAATATAATTACCTTAGTTACAACTACTGTAATTTACAATGTAAACTGTCTTTTTACTAACCGCATCCTTTAGCTTTAAGATTCCAGTCTGTTTGGTAATTTCTTGAAGCTTTATTTCAATTTGTGCACTGCAGTGTAGAAAACAGCAACTTAATTGCAAATTAATATTAAACGTCTAAAAAAACAACAACTTAATTTATTGCTAATATTGTGGTCTTGACAAACCCAACACTAAAAGAAGGGGATACAGGAAACATCTACTACGCACTAGTGACTTGTAATTCAGACCAAATTGATCATTGTCATGCCTATTGTATTCTAGATTTGTATGTATATTAACAGTGTATGTTGTATCATAAACCTGAAAATAGCTGTGGTTACTTTGAGCACTTCCTCTGTAGAGTAAAACCTAAAAAGTCACAAAGGTCAAATAAAGAGTGTTCTTGAAGGCTTCTGAGATCTTTATTTGAAGGTTTCTGGTTTCCAAATAGATTATAAAACACCAAAAAAAAGAATTACCGGTACTATGACATTTCTCACTTGGACAGCATATACAGTGTAATGCACACAAAATGTAGAAGAAATACTCCAAGAGATTGCTTTTCCCACACTATTTATATGTTGTAGTTCAATTTTATCCCTGGTTTTCATTTCATTTTCTTTTGCTTCACACTCATTCTCATACATAATAATGCTCATAAAAAAGGAAAATAAAATTTGAACCAACAATAAGATTGAACCTCAAAAGACATAAACTAACCTATCATTGCCCACAAGAATATTACCATGTATATATAATTTGTTAAGACTAATTGACGATATCATTATTTTATGCAAAGAAAATTAATAAAAATAATAAAATATCCTGTACCTGTCATCATCTTTGTTTCGACTTCCTGTTGCTCTTAGACAACGGCGCTGTCTTCCTGACCTTGGCTGGGATGGAACACATAAATTGCCTGTGGCAGATAAGATAGAACAGATCAGAGCTCTTTCATTCACTTACTTACTGGAAGCAATAAAATTACAGCATTTATAGGGAATTTCTTAGTGTAGCCTGGTGTTATAGAACTAACAACAAATCATTTTGCATGTTTTGATTTTTGTTTTTAATATGATTACCATGCAAATTAATTTATGTACCTTGTATAGCAATACTAATATCCCTTTCTTTAAGCTAAAAACACTGCCTTTCTTCCAGTAACTGGGTGCTTTTTATTACATTCACTGATACATTACTTAACATCTTTTTCCTTTCTTCAAACACTGTTATCAGTACAAACGAAACAGTAAACTAACATGAAAGATTTATTGATAATCCCTTTTCTGTTCCATATTTCAACTACTGTTGAATAGAACAGAGACGAACTCTAATCTACCAAACAAGATTAAACACGTTTTTAACTGAGCTCCATTGGCCTTTATTCAAGCTATTAAAAGCTATCGAAACTTATTAATCACATCTTGACATACATTCTAACTTACGTTAGAGAAAGCTACGACACATTCAAATTGAATTTTATAACACCTCATTCAAATATATGAATGACCATCTGCCAAGTTCTTTTAGTATACAAAGAAGTATAAACACCAGTATTAAACTCATTAAACGCACGCACTTGCAAGATCTTTATCCAAAAATTTGGCTTTTAAAACGCGAAAACACCGTAATCACACTACAAAATCCTGTCACTCTAATTCTTAGTCACCGACAAAACAAGCTAAATTCCACAAAGACAAAATACACTGGAACGTCTGTTGAAGATTTCATGGTGGCCTATAGATTTACAATCCACTCACCTGGTCGACGTTGACGGGTACTCGTTGGTAGATCGAGACTCAAAAGAGGCTTCTTTGGGCAGGTGGATTGTTGAACATCTTTTTCCAGCAGTTCACATTCCCTTAATTTGTTTTCTTCCCGTAATTTTTCGCCCAAACTCTCAATTTTCGCCTGCAAACTCGTAGCCATTCCCCATATTTACTGTTCCAAGAGAAAAATGCTTGAGTCATGCGCATTAAAGTTTAAAAGGGGAAGCCCCCAGGAAGCTTTGCGACAAAGTTGACCAGGAGCGGTCGCTTGGCATCAAACGTGGACTGCGGACTGTGAATTACGGACTGAGGACTGCAATGGAGATCAAAAGTGTTGGGACCTTTCCAATAATATTAGCAAAACTAGCGACCCCTCCCCTCCCACCCCGCAAAAAGTTGAATTTTGAGCAAAATGGGTGGAAATGAGTGCTTTCAGTTGGCCACATTACTGGGGGGGAGAGGGGGGACAACGGGATGAACCCAAAGTCGAAAAAAAAATGGTGTTAGGAGTAATTTTTTCGTGTATATTATTATGGCTCTAAATGTAATAAAGTTCCTGACTGAAACAATTCAAGCAATGGCAATGGCCAAAAATATCGCACTACTGCAGCCGGTCACCGCTCCTACGTTGCCCTACCAATCTACCCCCGCACCACCAAATCCACAAACAAATGATACATGGTTTAACCCCCCAGTTATTTTCCCCTCTTTTCCTAATATCAGGCCCAGATTTAACACGGCCGGGCGTATAGGGCTTGTTAAGAGCTCTGTTCTGGTTTCAGATAAATTTTACCAATATCATCATGATCATGATTTATGATTTTGTTGTTTGCTGCTTTTCTTTAATGATAACAGATAACACAATGTGGCATAGAAAGTGAATCTCTTAGCTAATGACGTTATCGCATCAGACAGTAGGGAGCTTTAGCAACGACGACGGCGACGGCAACCACAACGTCAAAAAAAAAGCAATAGGTTTTTTACGCGAAACAACAACTTTGCAGGTGCATCACGCTTTTTTGTACATTTCCGTTACCGTCCTTACACGAATACCACGTGAAAATGCCTAATTGCAAGTTTTATGGAGGACGTAAACAAGCGACGACGAATCTCTTTTTCTCTCTTAAATTTGAGTGCGGTCCTCAAGAAATCAACTCCAGGGAAATTCGCCTACACTTGCCATTTTCAGCAAATTGGAATAAACGCGACAAAGATTGAATAAACGGGAATTCATTTTAAAACTGACGTTTTCGCTGCCGTTGCCGTCGTCGATGCTAAAGCTCCCTATTTACACCCATGTTTCAGTTAGTGACTTTACGCTGTTTGGGACCAAAAGTTATTACACTTTATTACATTTAGGACCAAACGTTATTACACTCAGGACCTTTGGTACATTTAGGAACATTTATTACATTTACATTTAAGGCCTCAACAACTCTTTGACAGTCACCAAAGCAGAAAATTATTCCTGGATAAAATCAAAATTTAAATAAACATCATTCAAAAAGAAATAATGATACCACAAGTTACATTGGGCTGTTTTGTCTGGTCATTATTTTTTCATTCGCCATTTGCACATTAGCCTGTTCCAGGCATCTCCCATAATACAGCTTGTTTGTTCAACAAAATTTTGCATAAGCATTGCCTTCAATTTCTCTTGGGACGACTGAAATGAAAAGCATCTATAAAGACAAAGTTTATGCAAAATTTATGGGGCCAAACGAGGTGTATTATGGGAGATATGGAAATTGACGAATATGACATCATGCATCCGTTATAAGAGCGAGCGGAAAAATTTCAAATTTCATTTAAACTTCCCCAAGCTCAAAGCTTTGAAATCGCGGAGAAAAACAGAGTACTTTCCCGGCAAAATGTCTGGCCAGCTGCTTAAAACGAAGTCGAAAGTTGCGATTGAATGTTAAATAGATGAATGGATTAAGTCCGCTGTACGACTGCACTAAACAACCTATGAACGACATTACTGGTAGACTAATTTTCATGGAGCCAAATAGCTGTAAAAAGACTATTATTAAGTATGGAAGCCAACAGAGAACAAATAAGATTACCACAACAATCATCATCTGGGTGACGTTTCTGGCCGTTTTCATGGCTTCAGCTTGTTGCGCATTTTGATTGGCTCCTTCTCCTGGTACTTCACGTGACCAGAGTGTGATACAAACAGCAGTGTATAGTGCTGTTATTAATAACAGTGGAAGAAAAAAGTTCAAAGAAACATCGGTTACATTAACAGCTGTCCAATTATTTACGGCACTTTCCAAGTCACAACGCCAAGCCCGTTTATCTTTTCCCAAGCCTCCGTTAACAAGGACGTTTATTGAACAAACAAAACACCACAGCCAAATAACGAGGATGGCTTTTTTCAAATGTCGGGAGATTGGCGATAATTGTAACGGTCGATTCACCGCACAAAAGCGATCAACTGCGATCATTACAAGGATCCAAACTGAAAAATACGGTGCAATGGACATGATGACGAGATGTAATTTGCATGTGATTTGGCCAAACAGTCCCCCAAACCACAAACCGTCAAGATAGATGTGATGGAACACATTCACTGACTGTGTGATTGTTATCAGCAAATCATCGCATGCTTGATTCAAAATGAGGAAATTTGTTGTGGTCCTCATGGCGTTGTCGGATCTTATTATGTGAATGATGACTGAGTTGCCAAGTAACGACATCGTGATTATAATGGAGTGGGCCGATGACAACCACATTTGTTGCTGGGGAGGCATTTTCTCTGTTACTCCAGTTAAGTTGTCTACAAAAAGGAAAAGGGTATATTTGCTTTATTTCTAATTATGAAAATTAAACGGTGCATTCTTTGATACATGGTTGATTAAAAGAAGAAAATAACTAGAGCTGATTTGTATTTGCATTGTAAAACAGAGTCTTGCCAGTTTGGCACTTCAACATCTTCCCATTACAGAGCGTTCACATGTCGGCCATGTTGGTACGGAGTTTTAGCAATAACGACAACGGCGACGCGACGGCAACGAGAACGTCATAACAGCCATAGGTTTATTAAGCAAAACAACAAGTTTGTACATGTATTACGCTTTTTTGTACATTTCTTTGCCGGCCGTTACTGCACGACTAAGACTTGAAACTACCTAATTTTACGGTTTATGAAGGACGTAAACAAGGCGACGACGAAGTTATTTTTCTCTTTCTAAACTTGAGTGCGGTCCCCAAGAAATCAACTCCAGGAAATTTGCCTACTTTAGATATTTTCAGCAAATTGAATAAACGCGACAGCGTTTGAAAAAAAAACTAATTCATTTTAAAAGTGACATTTTCGCTGCCCTCGCCGTCGTCGATGCTAAAACTCCCTGGTGCTCGAAAACAATGAAACGGCGGCCATGTTGGTGTTCCAAACCAGTGCTGTGGGAGTTGAACTGTTTTCTTATGTAAACGCTTTTAGTTCCCATAACTTTGCATAGATGCTGGCCACGTGAGTGACAACGTTCCATAAACTTGGTTCAACATTTGCCAGCTGGCTCTAGTTTCTATTTTTTTTCGTTTTAAACTTTCAAGTAAAAAAGGTGAACATTAGCCGGCCGTCGGAATCTATATATTATTAGAACGTACAAACACCTTCAGCTTCAGTCGGCGGTTTTAGAGGACGTCTTTTAGAGGACGTCTTAAGGACAGTTAATTTAAAATAAGGAAAAAATTTAACATATATCTAAAAATAGCAAAAAATACACATTGTATGCAAGACTTATAACTCTTGCAATAATGAAGTGACTGACCGCCCATGGAAGGCTCATACCTCTATGAGTTCTATTTATCAAGTCCATTTTTACTTCCTCGTCCGTTGTTCAAAAAAAAATATGAGAACTAGAACTAAGAGAAAAAATACCAACACATGATTATCATAAAAGTCATCGTTAGCCTCCTGCTGAATATGATTAAAATTACAAAGGGAAGTGTTAGCCTATTACTAATAAAAAGTAATGCATTTTGCATCCCTGTGAAGAAATAAATAATTTGAGTTTGCCCCTATTGTGCGGACAGAATTTGTATAATCCAAGAGTCGTGAACCTAACGATGAAAATAGCAATCCTCTTTTATTCAGTAAAAGCAAACGGACTGAAATGTAAGAAAATATATAAAATATTTTTGTATGAAGTCGGACTGTTGCAGACGTTTAGATGATGGAGTGTTGTGAGAAGCTAGAGAGCGCGAAAGAAAGGCCTGCCTACATCTCTTTGCGCCGTCCTCACACTGAAAACCAGAAATAGATGAAGAGCATTCTTTGGGGAGCTATTAAAACATAGACTAGTTTTATTTACATTAAGGGCGTAGTGGTGGAGGAAGTATTAATTTCCCTCAACAGTGAGGAGTTTCTTACGAAAAATGGTAATTTGTAGGTATTGTTTTAGTTTGTCGTATAAAAACTTTAAAAATATAATGTATGATTGTTTTCTCACTTGTGGTTCTATCTGGTGTTGTTTTGCAAACAGCCCTGCTTCTTCGATCCTAGTATGGAAGTTTCTTCATATATTCTCTAAGGATGTAAGCTGTACAAAGGTGTTCTAGGAAAGTTTACCTGACTCGGGCCTAGAACGTGCCTCGTTCCTTCTAGCTCAACCAATGTATTCAGTACTATTAATACTCTACTATGCAGTATACCAGCACTCAGTATGATAGTTACGGGAGTTTTCTCATTTCAGTTTTATTTACATGACAAAGAAACAGCATAAAGCAAAAGAAAGCAATTTTATGGCTATTTATTTAGTGGGAGTTATTGAAAACGTACTTCTAAGATTCGTTGCCGCCATCAAAATGATTTCTTATCTCTGGAGCTTTAAATAACAGTTTTGATTACATGCATGTTCAGACGCCTTGAGCAAGGACGGTGTAAATCAAAGTAAAAGTATTTTGAAAGGCAGGCAAGTTCTATGTACTCAGTTGAGAACAATGAAATAAAACTTTACATTTAATTTATTGAATTAATTCAGTGAGCTATTCCGCTTCGTTACACATACTTTTTTGGCAGTATAACAACAGTTGCAGATTTCGAACTCCTTTGTATAACCGACCGAAGATACAAAATCAGATTTATTTTATATTTGTTCCAACTCTACGCTCTGAGAACGAGCAGAAAGGAAATTGTGGACTTTTCCAAGGCAATCCTCAAATAAAAGTTTAAAACCATTTCGGAACTTTTGACTAAATGTGAGATAGACATATGGATTAAGTCCACTGTAAGCGATTGTTAACCAAACGATAAACAAAAGCAAATTAGGATTTACTTTGATATAACCATAACGAAGAAATTTGCTAGAAATCATAATGAAGTAAGGCAGCCGACAGAGTAGGTATAACACCACCACAGCAATCATCATCCGGGTCACTTTCTTGGCAATTTTCAACGCTTCTGCTTGCCGCTCATTCTGATTGGTTCCTTCCCCTGGTATGTCACGTGACCATAGTTTAAGGCAGACTATTGAATATAGAACTATGATTAGCAAAAGAGGAAGGAAAAAGTTAAGGACAAGCTCGAAGATTGCTATTGCTCTCCACGCGTCCGCATGCTTTTTTTCAACTGGAAAAGTATTCAGGTTGCAATGATAATGACCGCCAGTTCTTATTTCTAACTCGGCTAAGGGAACGTAGTAAGTTGCGGAAGCAATAGACCAAACCCACAGAAAGACAGCTGTTTTCTTGAAATGACGAGATAAAGGAGAGATCATGAAAAGTCGCGTTACGGCATAAAAGCGATCAACAGCAATGGCAACAAGAATCCAAACAGAGAAAACAGGAAGAATAACAACGCTCGCTTTTAACAATCTGCACGTGATATCTCCCCATAATCCTCCAAACCACTTACTCCCGAGAGAAAGTAAAAAATAGCTGAATGTCTGAAGGGTTGTCGTCAAAATATCAGCACAAGCTTGATTAAAGATCAAATAGTTTGTGATAGTCTTCATAGAATGATCTGTTCTTATGACGTGAATGATAACTGAATTGCCAAATAATGAGGCCACGAAAGTGATTACATTAGCGCCAAATAGCTGCCATATAAAGTCGATAGGTGGTTGCCCATGATCTGTTCTTGTTAAGTTATCTGAAGATTAAGGCAAAAGAATTTATCGTCATTACTATTATCATCATCATCATCATCATCTTACGTTACTGTTGACATTTTAAAAACCTTCAAGAATAGTAGAAAGTAAAACCATTGTAGAATGTAATTCTGAAACGAAATTTCTCACTGGATCTTATTCATTAAGGGCAAAGACAGATACATTTCTATGTTGTCGTAATTCCCTAGAAAACCATACCGATTTCACATCATATATTGCACGGGGGAAAATCCATACCTTTGTCAGACCAAAACTAACCTCAGCGAAAAACCACGCCCTTTAGGCGGGCCAAACCTGTACAATTTTACCGTAGGTAGCTACGCCTCCACCAGAACGGCCCCCCGCCCCCACGCCCCGCAGCTTCCGCAGTAATAAATTATTTCATTTCTACCACTGTGATGGTTATTGGGTTTCAATCAAAGCAGTTTGCTTTACAGCCACCAGTTAACTGCGCGCCAACTTATTTAAACAAATATACATTCAAATCTAACAAATTTCCGCTTTCAGTTCTAAATTGAAGTAAACACTACTTTTTAATTAGAAATAGCCTTTTTATGGTAAGAGCTACCGGGTCGAAAATGGAGGTAAAAAAGTGTAGCTTTGTTAGAAAAAAAAAAATATGCCAAATGGTCTTCCTCGCACATGATCGTTTTATGGATTATTTATAATTAAACAAAAGTGAACTTGGACTGTAGGCGCATACTTAAAAATTAGTAAATGTACGTTGTCCATAACTGAGCAATGACATATTGCAATTATAAACGAAACTTCTGATAGCCCATTTTTATCTCCCAATTTTCCAGGAGACCTTTTACCTGTTAAGAATTAGAGATTTAGTACCTTGTGACTGAAAATCGAGGCTAATGTTAAAAATTGATTTCATATTAGGTCCTGCCATGGCAAGCTAGAGACAGCGAGTCGAATTACCCTTCCAAACCAATAGTCAGCTACTCAATTGTAAGATTTGCTGCGAGAAAGTTATGATAAGAAATTAAAATGATTAGTTTGGAGGATGAAATTGTTGTTGTTCCTTCTTTTCCGATCCTTTTTCTCTCAAGGTAGCGACCTTTGCGTCATTCATCCTATTGACTGTAGTGTCCAATTCTAGACAAGAATGTTACGCTTTTCCTTATATTGAGAAAACTGATAAAATCAGTTTGAAACGGCAAGATTTGAATTCAGGTTTAAATTGTATTGACCTTTGTTTCAAACTACTTATCACACATTACCATACCACAGAATAAAGAAAAATAAAATTTAAATCAAGGTTAAAATTGAACCACAACGTATGGAAGGTTCTTCCTATATTCCCTAAGAATGAAAGCTGTACTAAGATGTTCTAGAGGGAAGTCCACCTGACGCGGGCAAACAACGTGCCTCAGTTCCTTCTAGTCAACCACTTGCATTCAGCACTATTAATACACAACCTTGCAGTATACCACTACAGTATAGCGTATGATATTAGCAGGACTTTTCTCATTTCAATTTCATTTGCATGATAAAAAAAAGCATAAGGCAAATCAAAGCAATGTTATGGCTATTTGTTTAGTGGGAGTCAGATTGAAAACGTACCTCTAAGATTCGTTTCATCAAATTGATTTCTTGTCTCTGTAGCTTCAATTAAACTTTTTGATTACATGTTCGGACGAATTGAGCGAGGAAGGTGGAAAACGAAGTAAAAGTATTTTGAAAGGCAGGCAAGTTCTATGTACTCAGTTGAGAACAATGAAATAGAACTTTACATTTAATTTATTGAATTAATTCAATGAGCTATTCTGCTTCGTGACACATGCGTTTTTGGCAGTATAACAACAATTGCAGGTTTCGAACTCCTTTTATAACCGACCGAAGATACAAAATCAAATTCATTTTATATTTGTTCCAACTCTACGCTCTGAGAACGAGCAGAAAGGAAATTGTGGACTTTTCCAAGGCAATCCTCAAATAAAAGTTTAAAACCATTTCGGAACTTTTGACTAAATGTGAGATAAACATATGGATTAAGTCCACTGTAAGCGATTGTTAACCAAACGATAAACAAAAGCAAATTAGGGTTTTCGTTGACATAACCATAACGAAGAATACTGCGAGAAAACATAACGAAGAAAGGCAGCCAACAGAGTAAGTACAACACCACCACAGCAATCATCATCCGGGTCACTTTCTTAGCAATTTTCAACGCTTCTGCTTGCCGCTCATTCTGATTGGTTCCTTCTCCTGGTATGTCACGTGACCATAGTTTAAGGCAAACAATTGAATATAGAACTATGATTGGCAAAAGAGGAAGAAAAACGTTAAGGACAAGCTCTGAGATTCCTATTGCTCTCCACGCGTCCGCATGCTTTTTTTCGACTGGAAAAGTATTCAGGTTGCAATGATAATGACCGTCAGTTCTTACTTCTAACTTGGCTAAGGGAATGAAGTAAGTTGCGGAAGCAATAGACCAAACCCACAGAAAGACAACTGTTTTCTTGAAATGACGAGATAAAGGAGAGGTCATAAAAGGTCGCGTTACGGCATAAAAGCGATCAACAGCAATGGCAACAAGAATCCAAACAGAGAAATTAGGAAGAATAACAACGCTCGTTTTTAACAATTTGCATGTGATATCTCCCCATAATCCTCCAAACCACTTACTCCCGAGGGAAAGTAAAAAATAGCTGAGTGTCTGAAGGGTTGTCGTCAAAATATCAGCACAAGCTTGATTCAAGATCAAATAGTTTGTGGTAGTCTTCATAGAATGGTCTGTTCTTATGACGTGAATGATAACTGAATTACCAAATAATGAGGCCACGAATGCGATTACATTAGCAACAAATAACTGCCATATAAAGTCGATAGGTGGTTGCCCATGATCTGTTCTTGTTAAGTTATCTGAAGATTAAGGCAAAAGAATTTATCGTCATTACTAGTATCATCATCATCATCTTACGTTACTTTTCACATTTTAAAAAACCTTTAAAGTTAAGTAAAACCATTGTAGGATGTAATTCTGAAGCGAAATTTCTTATTGGATCTTATTCATTTAGAGTAAAGACAAATACACTTATATGCTGTCGTAGTTCCCTAGAAAACCATACCGATTTTATGTGATATTGCAGGGGCAAAATCCATAACTCTCTGAGACCAAAATTAACCGACTGCAGCGAAAAAACCACGCCCCTTAGGCGGGCCAAACGTATAGAGCTTATTTGGAAATAGCTGATATACTATTTATTGTATACGACTCAAGTAAAAACATGTATGTATGTATAAACATTAACCAAAAGGGACTGCAAAGGACCGCAAACGAATATGCCGAAGAACGTAGGATCTATATAAAGACCTGATCAGCAAAAATAATAATGTAGACATATTAAATTCTGCAAGCAGAATACTGCAATGCTGATCAGCATTGCGGTATTCTGCTTGCAGAATTTATTATGTCTATGTATGTATGTATGTATGTATGTATGTATGTACCATGGGTAGCTACGCCTCCAGAAGCCCCCGCCTCGCAACTTCCGCAATAATAAATTATTTCAGTTCTACCTCTGTGATGGTTATTGGGTTTCAGTCAAAGCAGTTTGCTTTACAACTGCCAGTTAACTACCAACTTCAGTTTAAACTAATATGCCTTCAAATCTGTCAAATTTCCGTTTTCAGTTCTAAATTGAAGTAAACACTACTTTTTAATTAAAAATAACTTTTTTCTGGTAAGAGCTACCAGTTCGATAATGGAGGGAAAAAGCGTACCTTTGTTAGGAAATATAAAAAATATGCCTAGTTACGGTTGCCCTTGATTGTCTTATTTGAACTTGAACTGTGGGCGCATACTTAGAAATAAGTAAACGTAGGTTGTCCATAACTGAGCAAGGACGTGTTGCAATTACAAACTAAACTCCTCATAGCCCATACTTATCTTCCAACTTTGCGGAAGACCTTTTACCTGTTAAGAGTAAGTTAGATATTTAGTACCTTGTGACTGAAAATGGAGGCTACTGTTGAAAATTGATTTCATATTAGGTCCTGCCATGGCAGGCTGGAGACAGCAAGTCGAATTAACCATTCTCATCCAACAGTCAGCTGCTCGATCAGTTGTAAGATTTGCTGCGAGAACATTAAAACTATTTTGGAGGATGACTGAATTGGTCTTTTTCCTTTTGTTCCTTTATCTCTCACATGGTAACGACCTTCGCGTCATTCAATCCTATTGACTGTAATGTCCATAAGTAGACAATGTTTAGCTCTTCCCTTTATTGAGAAAACTGATAAAATCAGTTTCAAACGGCAAAATTTGAATTCAGGTAACCGCATGGGCTTTCCCGTTGGCCTATTTGCAGTATTTTAATTTAAACGCACAGCCTTTTTCATTATATTGATCAGGGTTTGCCTACCGTGTTGTATTAATCATAAGGAAAGGAAGGCCGAAAAAGGCAGGTTTAAATATAGCACTGTACAGGTAAAAACAACAACAACAACAAAAAAACAAACAGTAAGATATAATACAATATAGAAAATAAGAATCACACGTCAAAAAAACTGCCTTTTTTCGTAAATTTAATAGAACTTCGATCCCATAAAGAATTTCTTTAACACTAGTTTCCAGTTAACAGTGGAAATCAATTCTGTAGCACCTTCCAAGCCATCATATATCATTACTTGTTAAGGTCGACGTTTTTTCACATCTAGTTAGAGCCGGCTAGAAAGTATTTTCAGATGAATCAACAACGAATTAATATTAATAAATCTAACTATTAACATATGACCATTTAGCAATACCAACAGCTTCATTACAGTAGACCTTTCTACTTTGTATGTTTTGTTTTCCCATTTCAGACCCCTGATGGTACATTTAATGTCGTATGTCCGTCCTAAACAGGTGCACCCAGATGCGTATGTATATATAATTAATTGCGGGCTCCTCTTGTCGCACGCAATCCTAATCTCCTGGTTGTTATTACGCATTCGTCGCATGTATGTAGCCAGCATTCGTTTGGACTTCCACCAAGAATGAACAGAACGCACTTTGATCACGCGCTTAAGACATTAGGCAAACTCTCTGAGAACATCACGTGGTCTGAATTGGGACAAGAAAACATACAAGTCATACAAGCTTTCAGCCATAGGAGACAACAAGAGAATTATATAAGATACCGTAAAATTCCAAAAATAAGCCCCTCCATGTATAAGCCCCCCCCGAAATATAAGCCCCCCAAACTCGTAACGCAAAAAACCCTCCGTTTAATTGCCCCTCCAAATATAAGCCTTCCTGGGGCTTGTACTTGAAATTGCCCTCACATACAAAGTAAAACAAAAAGCAAAACAGTAAATTTCGTTCCAACTATAAGGCTAGCCCAATCGATTTTGAAACGCAAATTTTCCTCCGTAGATAAGCCCCTCCGAATACAAGCCCCTCCAAAAATAAGCCCCTCAAAAGGGCCTTTTGAAAAATATAAGCCTCAGGGCTTATTTTCGGAATTTTACGGTAAATCATTTGGACGGTCATCACGGCCATGGCAGATAAAGATGAAACCTGTTATGACACAATCTTGTTAATTTGGGAAACAAAAACAAACGATTTTGCACGGGTGGATAAGAGCTCCCAACATACATCGTAGCCTGAGTAGTAGGCCTCCGGTTGTTAACTGATCATGATATCTTAAGTTTTTCCTTACTTTCATAACCAGTGAGTTAATTTATACATGTTATTCACCGGCTGGGAGATCCGTATTGGGAGAAACTGTGCCCGAGGTCTTGAGTACGGCCTCGGGCGGTAGTCAGACCGAGGGCACAGTTTCTCACAATACAGACCAACCCAGGCTGGTGAATAACATTTTTATTTTTTTCCAACTGAGATGTAAAAGTTTCAGGAAAATTTTCCTTCACTGTCCGACCTATGTGTGTTGAAGTAGGACGCGTTAGTGTTGATGAAGCGCGCGATAAATTGCGAACCAAAACAAAACATTTTAACATGATTTTTAGCTAGGAACATTCTGAGTCATCAGCGAAGACAGGGGCACCCAACGACAATTTTCGGAAAATATCTGTTCGGAAGACGATTTGGGATCTAGAATTTTCGGAAAATTTTTTGTAAAATTTCTTGCCTGCCTCTCCTAGGATTTTCGAACATCTAAAAAAATGGGATAATTGCCTATTTTTAACGGATTTTTACCGTAAAAAAAGGTCACCTAGAATTTTCGGGAGCCTTTTTTCTGGCTGAAATTTTCGAAAAGGTAAGTTTTGATCCCTATAATTTTCGGATCACTAGACTTTCAGCTAGGAAATCCGAACAGATAAAAAGTCTTTAGGGGATAAAAATATGCCTATATCTACCGTTAAAATACTAAAATACGTTTAACAATGCTATCTTTAAGTGGTTTTGAACTATATTCTCGTTGGGTGCCCCTGCGAAGAGTGCGATACGATTCTGTATTACCGGCGAGAGATCGTTAACATAAACTAAAAACAGGAGAAGACCGAGGCTACTGCCCTAAGGGACTCCTGATGCAAGTGAAACCGTGGACGAAGCACCACTGACCGCTTCCACCTAGATTAGCTCTCGAACCACTGTAGAAGTTTCTTGCTGACTCTGTACCGGGAGAGTTTCAGAAGCAACCTTTGGTGGGAGACACTGTCGAAACCCTTTGCGAGATCCAAATACACAATGTCCGACTGCAGGCCCTTATCTAGAGACTGGCCAATCTCGTGATAAAACGCCAGCGACTGGGTGACCGTAGATCGACCCTGAAGGGAACCATGCTGTGCATTGTCAAACAAAGGACAGAGAAACTCCTTGAAGTGCTTGAATATGCATCCTTCTAATACTTTGGAAACAACGCACAATAGAGAGATGGGTTTGTAGTTAGTTACGTCCTTCTTTTTGCCTTTCTTATGAACGTGGACGACAAGGGCGCCTTTCCATGCGGTGGATAGTTTACCCTCCGCAAGAGATAAAACAGGGCGCAAAGAGTCTCCACTAGTTACTACCAGACAACACTACGCTTGCCTTTTTTATTATGCTCTTATCCATGATGCTCAATATTACAATTCGAAACGATTCATATTTGTTCCAACTCTACATTTTGAGATCGAAAGGAAGAATACCTCGAGAGGTTTGGTTAAGCAATCTTCATATAAATGTTTAAACCCACTGCGAAACTTCTGATTGAAAGTGAGATACACAAATGGATTAATTGCACTGTAAGCAACTGTTAACCAAACGATAAAGAAATTTGAATGAATATTCCCTGTATGAGGGTCACTTTTCAAAGGAGAGTCTCCTCTAATTAGGCTCATTGACATTATGATAAAGAATGGAAGCCAGCACAGCTCATACAGTACCACAACAGTAATCATCATCCGGGTAACTTTTTTGCTGTTTTAATGGCCTCTACTTGCCTCTCATTCTGATTGGCTCCTTCTCCTGGAACTCTGCGTGCCCATAGTTTAAGGCAAATAATTGTGTATAAAATAATGATTGCAACGAGAGGGACAACAACGTTCACGACAAGACTAGTGAGGGAGAATTCTATCCATTCATAGTACACTTCATCAACTGTTTTGCAATAAACATACGTCCTGTCATTTCTTAAGCCTGTTAGGGCAAGGAAATTTGCCGCCGCAGAAATAGCTGACCAAACCCATAGTAACAGAACTGTTTTCTTGAAATGTCGAGATAAAGGAGAAACTTGAAAAGGTCGAGTAACGGCAAAAAACCGGTCCACAGCAATGGCAACAAGGATCCAGCCAGAAAACGCAGGTAGAATAAAGAGGCTGGCCCTTAACAACTTGCAAGTAATAATTCCAATTATTCCTTCAAACCACTTGTTCTCAAAGAAATAAGTAGTATCATTCAGTAACTCCATCGTTGCTACCAGGATATCTGCACATGCTTGGTTTACAATCAAATGATTGGTTGTGGTCTTCATAGAATTGTCTTTTCGTACAATATGAATGATCACTGAATTACCAACTAATGAAACCAGAAATGCAAAGACGTAACCACCCACCAATATCTGCCTTAGAAACCGTTCAGCTAGTTGTTCATAGTCTGTTCTTGACATGTTATCTGAACATAAAGAAAAAAATTCTTTGTTAGGCCAGCTGAGATAAATGTAACCCGTTCAATCTGCGTTATACGCTGGCCAGTATCATGTAGAAGACCTTATGATCTTTTCTCAATTGTGCAGTGCATAGAGTCGCTAAAGGGCGATGAAAGGGTACCTAAAAATGATTTCTAGTAGAGGAACCTCACTAGCAGCCAGGAAATGTGTAACAGGCCTTGGCTTCAGTTGCTTCTCGACCAGTTTGTGTTCAACGCACTGTTGGTCACGTGATCAACAAACACTAAACCTATAATTTTCAGAAATTCCAAAAGCATGTTTCAATTAGCAAGTATTCCAAGTTCTGGACCAGTGAGGTACAGCGGTGCGCAGGCTATGCCCCTTATAAATTAAAACGTTTTGTATTGGGCGACAAAGGTCTTGCTGAGCTGTAAAGTACAAATACATTCATATGCTATCGTGTTTCCCTAAGAACCATACCGATTTCAGATTATGATGGGCAAAATCCAAACCATAGTCAGACCAAAACGGCTTAAAAACTACACCTTAAATCAGCACATACCTATATAACTTAAACCGTAGGTAGCCCCCCCCCCCCCCCCCCCCCCCCAACCCGTGTCTCTTCTCTGGTAATGGAATATGTAGATAGCATGTAGTACCTTGTAAATATTTCATTTTTGTTACTATCATGGTTGCGGGATTTCATGATCAGTCAAAAAAGTTTGCTTTACAGCTGTCAGTTAACTGCCAACTCATTTAAAACTAAGATCCTTTCATATTTATTAAATTCTGACCTGATGAAGTAAACACTACTTTTTAATTAAAATAGCTTTTCTCTGGTGAGTGCTACAAGTTCGCAAAGAGAGAAAGCTAGCTTTGTTACGAAATAAAATTAAAAGCAATATGCCAAATGATCTTTCTCGCACTTGATGGTTTACTACAAATTGTTTATAACAAACATTTATAAAACTTTCTTAAAGTGAGTGCATGCTTAGAAATTAGATAATGCTAGTGCATGACTTCCTTAGTCTACAATTGAGTAGGGGAAAAATGTAGTTTTAAAGTAAAGCCGTAAACTCCTCGTAGCTCATATTTATCTCCCAATTTTGCGAGAGATCTTTTACTTGGTGAGAGTTGGACATTTAGTACCTTGTGGCTGAAAATCGAGGCTGCTGTTGAAAATTGATCTCATATCGCGTCGTGCTTTAGCAGGCTAGAGACAGCAGTTTCTTCTGATCCTTCTCAGCCAAAGACTTTTCTGCTCAACTGTACAAAAAAATGACTTTTTGTTTTTGTTTTTGCATGAATTTTTTGTTCTTTTATCTCCCAAGATAATGGTCTTAGCGGGGTTCATACTACTGTATTGACTGTAGTGGCCATTACTTGACAATGCCTCTGCATGACCATTTCCTATATCAGGAAAAACCTGATAAAATCAGTCAGTTTTAATTAAATATAAGGGCAAAAATTGAATTAAGTTATATCGGTATCTTAATTAAAACGTGCAGTCCTTTTTTATCATTAAAAGGCCTCTCTGAAACAGCATGCTCGCGGTGAAAAAAAGTAGGTTTTTCTGTTTTCAAAAAAAAAGCAGCAAACGGTATTATATATGTACAATTTATAAAAAAAAAAGGATCGCAGGTTAAATAAATACCCTCTTTTCTTAAATTTAAGGTAACTTTGATTCGACAACGAGAGTTTATTTAGCAGTAACAAGAATGAAATCTGCCGTACCTCATATAATAATCATAACAATTACCAAGTCGACGCTTTTCACATAACATAACATAACATAACATAACATAAAACTTTATTTAAACTCGAATTTTAGAGTAGCTAACAAGCTAATATCTTCGAGCTGACACTACATAAAAACTATATAGAAAATATATATATACATTAAATGCAAGGAAAGAAAATATCATTTACAATTCACAATTTTAAGTTTAAGTATGTCAGGCAAAAAGAATCTACATCAAGGTAACATCCTGTATTTTAGTCTTAAAGTCTGCAAAAAAAACTGGTACGAAAAAAGTCCGGCAGTGCATTCCACTGCTTAGCTGAAAAGTAAGAAAAGACCATAGGTAGTTGTTTTAGGTTTACTTAGTGAAAGAATGTAGTTGCCACGAAGATCATAGGAAGAGGACCGGAGTGAAAACATATTCTTCATATAAGTAGGAAAATGAGTGAAAAACAAACTCTTATATAACAGAATGAGGAAATTTTGAATGCGTTTGTTAAACAAAGAAGTAGAGCTGACTTTTGAGAGAAGAGTGTTGTATGGAGACGAGTAATCTCCAAGTATAAATCTAAGTATTCTTTTATTTAAAGCTTCGAGCTTATCCGCATCGCGCGCTCCACAAAAGTGCCAGACAGAGGAGCAATAATAAAAGTGAGGTAAAATATACGCTTTGTAAAGTTTGAATAAGATTTCCTTGCGTATGAGTTTTCTAAAGCGCAACATAACATTAAATTGATTATTAATCTTTTTGCATACATTTGATATATGTTTAGAAAAATTCAGATTATTATCTATTTCCATTCCAAAATCTCTAACGTGTCCTTTACTGGGAAGGAAAAACCATACTCCGTATCACCGAGGATTAGACACTGGTGCTTGCTCTCATTAACTAACATCCCATTTTCATGGTACCACTGATTGGCCACGCCAACATCATGAGATACGCATGCATCCAGAGCTGCCGGATCGACGTGGGAGTAGTATACCTGATGATCATCCGCATAAGCGTTCAACTTGGCCTTCTTGACGTGGAAGAAAAGATCGTTTATGAAAATGTTGAATAGCATGGGACCTAACACACTCCCCTGCGGGACCCCACGCTTGACGCTTTCCCAGGTCGAAAAGGTGTCTCCAACTTTAACTCTCTGAGTTCTGCTAGAGAGATAGTTCCTAATTAGGGTACAACTTTTGTCGTCCATACCATAGGCCCTCAGTTTCGAAAGGAGGAGTGGATACTGAATAACATCAAACGCTTTGGAGAGATCCATAGAAAATACCGCAACAAGCTCCCCCCTCTCACGCATCATTCTCCAGTCCTCGGTCAACCTTAGCAAAGAGGTCTCGCAACTATAAAACTTTCTATAAGCACTTATGAATTCTGATAAGACCCCATTGTAAAATTCATACATCTGCCCCGATAGAAGCCTTTCAAAAATATTGTTTAGAGCAGGGAGCACAGTTACGGGCCTATAGTTGATCTTACAAAACTCGTCGTCTTTTTGTACAGAGGAGTAACCATGCCCATCTTCCAGCTAGTAGGATAACAGCAATGTTCAATGCAACAGTTTATTATACTTGTTATAGGCCGCGCAATAACAGCTGCCGCTTCTTTAATCAACTTTGGTGGGATCATATCGTGACCAGGTGACTTACGTACATTGATCTCTTTTAGTAATAGCTCAACCTGGGTTTCACTTGCGCGATGAAAACTGAAGCAAGCTGGAGCACTAGAGCCCCTGTGTTCATGGATTGCTTTGATGCTGGGATGATTTGCATAATCCTCACCGTAATCCTCTGCTCGTATTTCAGGCATGCTGTCAGCAATGTGAACAAAGTAGTCATTAAGCAGATTGGCAATCTCCTTTTTGTCACTAATAATCCTGTCATTTTCTTTCAAGATAATGTCATTGGCTTGCTTACTTTTAGTATGCAAAAAGGGGCGGAAAGTAGACCAGAATTCGCGCGGGTGTTCGGTGTCTGCTGTTTTCCTCGCGAAGTGTTGTTTTATTGCTTTTCGCCTAAGAGAGGTGCAGGTATTACGTTGAATTTTGTATGCCTCGTAATTTGCATCAGTACGATTGCGCGTGAATTTTTTCCACAGTTTGTTGCGATGCCTGATCGCCCTCCTCCATATTGTTCCGTCATATAAGGCACCTGATTACCACGCATCATTGTTTGCTTGATAGGTGCGTGTTCATTGAGAACACTTAGAAACAATTGCTCAAATGCATAAAGCTTATCATCAAGTTCATCAAACAAATCAATTATGTGGAAAGGCACAATTTGCATATCATGCACAAAGTTCTCTCGACTGAAGTTTTTCAGACTACGAAAACAAATCTTGCGAGATCGAGTCCTTGGTGCTGATGATCGCAGGATAGTATAAACTAACGAATGATCACTAAGTTGCGTGTCTACCACGCCTGATGTTTAGACCTTTTTCTTGTCATTCGTCAGGATTAAGTCAAGCAGTGTTTCAGTTGTTTTTGTTGTGCGAGTTGGTTCCGTAATCAAACAATCAAGATTAAAAATATCTAGCAGATCTAGTAGAGCCCGACCGTCTCTGTGTTGTTTATCAGGAGCAAGAAGGTCCGCGTTTAAGTCTCCTGCTAGGAAAACTGCTTCGAAGAGAACAGAGAGTTCACGCGTCCACTGAGATCTCACAATCGAGGGAGGTCGGTAAATGCCCACAACAGTAATTCAAGTCTTCGGTAGTTTGACTTTCAAAACAATCGACTCCGTCTTAAAGGTTGACCATGTATCGGAAGAGAGCCCTTTGAGCTCTTTAACTCTAATAAAGCAGATATCACTCCTTACGAACACCATCAATCCACCTCCTCCAGCCTTTCTGTCACGACGACTCAAACGAAAACCTTCAACGTGAAACATAGAGTTAGGGAAAGTAGCATCTACACCTAGCTAGAGCAGGCTCGAAAGTATTTTCAGATATCTGTTCACAAAAAATATTGTTAAAAAAACTTAACTATTTAAATATCACTATTTAGCAACACCAACAGCTTACGGATTATTATACGTTTCTGGGAAACTGCCCACCTACCGTACTCTTCCCCAAAGCCAACATTAACACTTAGTTCTCACTTAGGGCAAATGTTGGCTTAGGGGAAGGGTAGGTCAATATCAGAATTAACTGAAATATCAGAATAACTGCTTGAAAATCAGCCGTAGAAGACAACAAGAGAATTACACAAGAAAACTCATTTGGACAGGTCACCACGGCTATATTAAATGAAAATCTTTTATAATAACAATTTGTGAGACAAAAACAAAAGATTTTGCACTTGTCATTTAGGAGCTCAAAACATAAACTGCAGCAAATGCAGTTGTTTACCAGTTTACTGACATCTTTATAACCCTATGTAAGGGAATGCGGGTTCCAAAAGCCTGGAACATTTTGCTTGTGGGGAATCCGACATCCGGCTCCTGGGCTTTGGAACCCGGAATACAGCTCAAGGAATCAGGATTCCAAGTTCCACTGACAAAGAATCCTGAATCCAGAACCTTTAATCCGGAATCACATGCGCAAAAAATCCAGAATCCAAGACTGTCTTGGATTCCCTTTCATAAGGTCATCATAAATGTTTGCTGACTTTCATAAGCAGTGAGTCTCCTCTAATTTACACTACCCAACAAAATAATGTTTGCCTTTTTTAATTATGCTATCGTCCGTGTCCAGTATTACAATTTGAAACGATTCATATTTGTTCCAACTCTACATTTTGGGATCGAAAGGGAAGAATACCTCGAGGTTTGGTTAAGCAGTCTTTATATAAATGTTTAAACCCATTGCGAAACTTCTGATTGAGAGTGAGATACACAAATGGATTAACTGCACTGTAAGCAAATGTTAACCAAACGATGAAGAAATTTAAATGAATATTCCCTGTTGGAGGGTCACTTTTCAAAGGAGACTCTCCTCTAGTTAAGCTCATCAACATTGTGATAAAGTATGGAAGCCAACACAGCTCATACAGTACCACAACAGCAATCATCATCCGGGTAACTTTTTTTGCTGTTTTTATGGCCTCTACTTGCCTCTCATTCCGATTGGCTCCTTCTCCTGGAACTTTACGTGCCCATAGTTTAAGGCAAATAATTGTGTATAGAATAATGATTGCAACGAGAGGGACAACGACGTTCAGGACAAGACTAGTGAGGAAGAATTCTCTCCACCCGTAATACACTTTCTCAACCGTTTCGCAAAAATCAGAAGTTTTTTCCTTTACTAAGCCGATTAGGGCGAGGATATTAGCCGCAGACACAGCTGACCAAACCCAGAGAAACACCACTGTTTTCTTGAAATGTCGAGATAAAGGAGAAACTTGAAAAGGTCGAGTAACGGCAAAAAACCGGTCAACAGCAATGGCAACAAGGATCCAAACAGAGAAAGCAGAAAGAATAAAGGGACTGGCCCTCAACAACTTGCAAGTAATAATTCCAAGTATTCCTTCAAACCACTTGTCCTCAAAGTAGTATGTAATATCATTCAATGACTCCATCGTTGTTACCAGGATATCTGCACACGCTTGGTTTACAATTAAATAATTCGTTGTGGTCTTCATAGAATTGTCTTTTCGTACAATATGAATGATCGCTGAATTACCAAATAATGAAACCAAAAATGTAATGAGGGAACGACTTGCCAATAGCTGCCTAAGTAACTGTTGATCTGTTGTTGACATGTTATCTGAACATATAAGCAAAACAATTCTTTGTTAGGCCAGCTGAGATAAATGTAACCCATTAGAATCTGTGTTATACGCTGGTTATCATGTAGAAGACCTTATGATCTTTTCTCAATTGTGCAGTGCATAGAGTCGCTAAAGAGCGATGAATTAAAGGGTACCTAAAAATGATTTCTAGTAGAGGAACCTCACTAGCAGCCAGGAAATGTGTAACAGGCCTTGGCTTCAGTTGCTTCTCGACCAGTTTGCGTTCAACGCACTGTTGGTCACGTGATCAACAAACTGACTATAAACAATTATTGGATGAGGTTTTTGTGATATCCGGAAAAATCAAGGTCGAGGTAAGTGTTATCAGCCGAAGGCTGAGGCTGATAACACTAACCGAGACCTTGATTATTCCGGATATCACAAAGACCGAATCTAATAATTGTTTTATTATACTTTATCTTCAAGTAATTTCTCAATTTCTTGCTGGGTCGATGAAGCGAATCGGGAAGCCATTCTTACTTCGCTGTCCGCGAACTTGACATTGCTGTCCGTGCACTTGACATTGCTCTTGGAAATCACGCATTGCGCGCGCAACCTACAGATTATTCACTAATCTGTAGGTACAGATTAGTGAATAATCTGTAGGTTGCGCTGTTTCCCAGAATTAACTGTAGGCTTTTAGCCAATGAGAAGACAGATGTTGACTACAATGTATAAAAAACCCTATAATTTTCAGAAATTCCAAAAGCATATTTCAGTTAGCAAGTACTCCACGTTCTAGACCAGTGAGGTACAGCGGTGCGCAGAATATGCCCCCTTATAAATTAAAACGTTTTGTATTGGGCGACCAAGGTCTTGCTGAGCTGTAAAGACACATACATTCATATGTTTCCTTAAGAACCATACCTATTTCAGATCATAATGGGCGAAATCCAAAACCTTTGTCAGACCAAAACAGCTCAAAAACTACTCCTTAATTAATTCAGCATATACCTATATAACTTAAACCGTAGGTAGCCCACACCCGTGCCTCTTCTCTGGTAATAGAATATGTAGAATGTAGTACCTTATAAATATTTTATTTTTGCTACTGTGATGGTTGCAGGATTTCAGTCAAAGGAGTTTGCTTTACAGCTGTCAGTTAACTGCCAACTCATTCAAAACTAAGATGCTTTCATATTTATTAAACTCTGAACTGATGAAGTAAACACTACTTTTTAATTAAAATAGCTTTTCTCTGGTGAGTGCTACCAGTTCACAATGAGAGAAAGCTAGCTTTGTTACGAAATAAAATTGCCAAATAATCTTTCTCGCACTTGATCGTTTACTACAAATTGTTTATAACCAACATTTATAAAACTTCCTTTAAGTGGGTGCATGCCTAGAAATTAGATAATGTTATTGCATGCTTTCCTTAGTCTACAATTGAGTAGGGGAAAAATGTAATTATAAAATAAACTCCTCGTAGCACATATTTATCTCCCAATTTTGCGAGAGATCTTTTACTTGGTGAGAGTTGGACATTTAGTACCTTGTGGCTGAAAATCGAGGCTGCTGTTGAAAATTGGTCTCATATTGGGTCGTGCTTTGGCAGGCTAAAGACAGCAGGTTCTTCTGATCCTTCTCAGCCGAAGACTTTTCTGCTCAACTGTACAAAAAAATGACATTTTTGTTTTTGTTTTTGCATGGATTTTTTTGTTCTTTTATCTCCCAAGATAAAGGTCTTAGCGGGGTTCATACTACTGTATTGACTGTAGTGGCCATTACTTGACAATGCCTCTGCATGACCATTTCCTATATCAGGAGAAACCTGAGAAAATCAGTCAGTTTTAATTAAATATAAGGGCAAAAAATTGAATTAAGTTAAGTCTGAGTGTGCCTTGCTGTTTGTCCAATATCAGTATCTTAATTAAAACGTGCAGTCTTTTTTATCCTTAAAAGGTCTCTTTGAAACAGCATGCCTGCGGTGATATATTAATTAGAGGGAAAGAAAAAGGCTGAAAAAGGTAGGCTTTTCTGTTTTCAAAAACAACAGCACGCAGTATTATATATGTTCAATTTGTAATTAAAAAAAAAGGATCGCAGGTTAAATAAATACCCTCTTTTCTTAAATTTAAGGTAACTTTGATTCGATAACGAGAGTTTATTTAGCAGTAACAAGAATGAAATCTGCCGTACCTTATATAAAAATCATGATAATTTCCAAGTCGACGCTTTTCACATTTAGCTAGAGCAGTCTCGAAATATTTTCAAATAACTCTTCACAACAAATATTGTTTTGAAAAAAAAAAAACAAAAAAAAAAAAAACAAAAAAAAACAAAAACAGTAGTTTCTCTAGCAACCTTTGTGGCATTACAGGTGTGGTATGGAATCCCTAATGAAAGGGTTCCCAAGTCTCCACTAAATAGTGGGTAAGGTAGGGAGGGAGGGTGTGTGTAAATGAGAGTGTTGTAGGCATAAAAACAAATAAAATAGGTTAACAGTTAAATAGTTAGAAAAAGCACCAATATTGAGCGACCAACAACTGCAATGCAGCCACGTCCAACACAAATATACAGTGCAAAGTAAAATGTTAAAAGTTAAAAACACCGATATTGAGCGACCAACAAACTGCAATGCAGCCACGTCCAACACAATACACAGTGCAAAATAAAACAAAAGGAACTGAAGGGTTAACCCTAACACCCTCCTTTAATTAGAACAGCTACAAATTTTTTTTTTTTCTTTACTCTCGATGTTCTAAAGAACGAAATAATATTATAGATCATCATATTTTGTGGTTAGCAATTTATCTTCTTTAATAACAACTTTTAAAGAGGGTTTAACCCCCCCTTTTTCTTCCTTTTTTTTTTTTTTTCCCGCCCATTTCCTTTTTCATTTAGCTGGGATAAATTCATCCCCATGCTCCTCCCATTTTCCACTAGAACAGCAACTGGCTTTTTAGCCACTTTCAAAGGTTTAAGAACGAAATAACATTATAGATAATTATATTTTCTGGTTGGCAGTTTATTTATTTATTTATCTATTTTTTAAAAAAAGTCATGTTTAAGTAGGGTAACCCCCTTTTTTCATCCATTTTCGTTTTCATTCAGCTGGGATAAGTTCGTCCCCAGACTCCTCTCATTTTGTACGTCATCATGCTGACGATTAACTATGGTGTGAGCAGCAAAAAAATTGTTTTTGCTACTTTTTGTTTGCCACATCCATGATAAGAGGAATTTTTGTCTACTAGCTGAGGAGTTTCCAAGTTTTTTTGCTCGCTAATTGGTCTGCTACGGAGGCTATCTGAAGTATTTTAGAGTAAGTAATCATTTACCTTTTTTTTTCCAAGACCTTTCAGTACTTTCATGTGTCAATTAAAAATGCTGCAGACATCTTGCTACGGTTATAGCTAATGGATCTATTTGCCCTAGAAACCTGTTTCCCTCGTTTCAGGGTGCTTAACTTTATATTATATTATATATTAACCCTTCAGTTCCTTTTGTTTTATTTTGCACTGTGTATTGTGTTGGACGTGGCTGCATTGCAGTTTGTTGGTCGCTCAATATCGGTGTTTTTAACTTTTAACATTTTACTTTGCACTGTATATTTGTGTTGGACGTGGCTGCATTGCAGTTGTTGGTCGCTCAATATTGGTGCTTTTTCTAACTATTTAACTGTTAACCTATTTTATTTGTTTTTATGCCTACAACACTCTCATTTACACACACCCTCCCTCCCTACCTTACCCACTATTTAGTGGAGACTTGGGAACCCTTTCATTAGGGATTCCATACCACACCTGTAATGCCACAAAGGTTGCTAGAGAAACTACTGTTTTTGTTTTTTTTGTTTTGTTTTTTTTTTGTTTTTTTTTTTTCAAAGCTATGGTGGGTACCTAACAGTAGGGGTACCATTTTGGGTACTAGTCAACTCTTTGAATGGTTTATGGTGTTCACATACTTCCATTCACTCCACTTTATATTTTATTTTCAACTAATCTTCCTATTAATTTTTTCAGCACAAACTACATATTAATTAACTCAGACATAGTTTAATCATTATCTCCCACAATTCACACCACTTACATATTTTTACTATCTCCTCCCACACTGGCACTTCATTTAGTTTTCACTAGTTCTTTATTATTATAATTATTTTTTAACTGCCTTTTATTTATTTTTCAATATATATGTATTTTGTTCTCTAATTTATTTACTCTACTTTGTTTAGATTAATTTTATTTGACCTATACAGGAGATCGAGATAGATTATTTTGAGCAATAAAATGGGGGAGTCTATCATGCAAGTACAACTTTTCTTTTGCATCTTCTCTCAGTCTTTTTCTATTTCTTCAATTTCCTTCCTTCCTGGACTCGACACGGGAATGTTGGGCATATGACCTGGTACCGGGTTAGAAACATTCCTGCTCAGTTGTGCTATGCCCCTGATGATTCACAACTTAAATTTAGAGCCTTGGTGTCGATGCATCCATTGTCCCAATATACCCGGGTCTCTTAACCTTCTCTTTCCTACTCTTCCATGTTTTCTTTTATCCGCAAATTACCTTTTTCTGCTTCCTGGAATTTCACACTAAAAAGTTTCAAGAACGAAGTAATTCGGGATGGGTATTCTTGTTGCTGTTGCTGTTGTTGTTTTATTTCTTTTCCCACTTCCTCTTTTTATTGTAGATGTTTTTTTTTTTTTGTTTTGTTTTTTTTTTTTTGTTTTTGTTTTTTTTTTACTTGAGTCCCCTGTTCTTTTTAACACCCTCCTTTAATTAGAACAGCTACAAATTTTTTTTTTTTTTTACTCTCGATGTTCTAAAGAACGAAATAATATTATAGATCATCATATTTTGTGGTTAGCAATTTATCTTCTTTAATAACAACTTTTAAAGAGGGTTTAACCCCCTTTTTTCTTCCTTTTTTTTTTTTTTTTTCGCCCATTTCCTTTTTTCATGTAGCTGGGATAAATTCATGCCCATGCTCCTCCCATTTTCCACTGGAACAGCAACTGGCTTTTTAGCCACTTTCAAAGTTTTAAGAACGAAATAACATTACAGATAATTATATTTTCTGGTTGGCAGTTTATTTATTTATTTATCTATTTTTTAAAAAAGTCATGTTTAAGTAGGGTAACCCCCTTTTTTCATCCATTTTCGTTTTCATTTAGCTGGGATAAGTTCGTCCCCAGACTCCTCTCATTTTGTACGTCATCATGCTGACGATTAACTATGGCGTGAGCAGCAAAAAAATTGTTTTTGCTACTTTTTGTGGGCCACATCCATGAGAAGAGGAATTTTTGTCTACTAGCTGAGGAGTTTCCAAGTTTTTTTGCTCGCTAATTGGTCTGCTACGGAGGCTATCTGAAGTATTTTAGAGTAAGTAATCATTTACCTTTTTTTTTTCCAAGACCTTTCAGTACTTTCATGTGTCAATTAAAAATGCTGCAGGCATCTTGCTACGGTTATAGCTAATGGATCTATTTGCCCTAGAAACCTGTTTCCCTCGTTTCAAGGTGCTTAACTTTATATTATATTATATATTAACCCTTCAGTTCCTTTTGTTTTATTTTGCACTGTGTATTGTGTTGGACGTGGCTGCATTGCAGTTTGTTGGTCGCTCAATATCGGTGTTTTTAACTTTTAACATTTTACTTTGCACTGTATATTTGTGTTGGACGTGGCTGCATTGCAGTTGTTGGTCGCTCAATATTGGTGCTTTTTCTAACTATTTAACTGTTAACCTATTTTATTTGTTTTTATGCCTACAACACTCTCATTTACACACACCCTCCCTCCCTACCTTACCCACTATTTAGTGGAGACTTGGGAACCCTTTCATTAGGGATTCCATACCACACCTGTAATGCCACAAAGGTTGCTAGAGAAACTACTGTTTTTGTTTTTTTTGTTTTTTTTTTTTTTTGTTTTTTTTTTTTCAAAGCTATGGTGGGTACCTAACAGTAGGGGTACCATTTTGGGTACTAGTCAACTCTTTGAATGGTTTATGGTGTTCACATACTTCCATTCACTCCACTTTATATTTTATTTTCAACTAATCTTCCTATTAATTTTTTCAGCACAAACTACATATTAATTAACTCAGACATAGTTTAATCATTATCTCCCACAATTCACACCACTTACATATTTTTACTATCTCCTCCCACACTGGCACTTCATTTAGTTTTCACTAGTTCTTTATTATTATAATTATTTTTTAACTGCCTTTTATTTATTTTTCAATATATATGTATTTTGTTCTCTAATTTATTTACTCTACTTTGTTTAGATTAATTTTATTTGACCTATACAGGAGATCGAGATAGATTATTTTGAGCAATAAAATGGGGAGTCTATCATGCAAGTACAACTTTTCTTTTGCATCTTCTCTCAGTCTTTTTCTATTTCTTCAATTTCCTTCCTTCCTGGACTCGACACGGGAATGTTGGGCATATGACCTGGTACCGGGTTAGAAACATTCCTGCTCAGTTGTGCTATGCCCCTGATGATTCACAACTTAAATTTAGAGCCTTGGTGTCGATGCATCCATTGTCCCAATATACCCGGTCTCTTTAACCTTCTCTTTCCTACTCTTCCATGTTTTCTTTTATCCATAAAATTACCTTTTTTTCTGCTTCCTGAATTTCACACTAAAAGTTTCAAGAACGAAGTAATTCGGGATGGGTATTCTTGTTGCTGTTGCTGTTGTTGTTTTATTTCTTTTCCCACTTCCTCTTTTTTTATTGTAGATGTTTTTTTTTTTTTTTTGTTTTGTTTTGTTTTTGTTTTTGTTTTTGTTTTTTACTTGAGTCCCCTGTTCTTTTTTAACACCCTCCTTTAATTAGAACAGCTACAAATTTTTTTTTTTTTTTTTCTTTACTCTCGATGTTCTAAAGAACGAAATAATATTATAGATCATCATATTTTGTGGTTAGCAATTTATCTTCTTTAATAACAACTTTTAAAGAGGGTTTAACCCCCCCTTTTTCTTCCTTTTTTTTTTTTTTTTTTTCCGCCCATTTCCTTTTTCATGTAGCTGGGATAAATTCATGCCCATGCTCCTCCCATTTTCCACTGGAACAGCAACTGGCTTTTTAGCCACTTTCAAAGTTTTAAGAACGAAATAACATTACAGATAATTATATTTTCTGGTTGGCAGTTTATTTATTTATTTATCTATTTTTAAAAAAGTCATGTTTAAGTAGGGTAACCCCTTTTTCATCCATTTTCGTTTTCATTTAGCTGGGATAAGTTCGTCCCCAGACTCCTCTCATTTTGTACGTCATCATGCTGACGATTAACTATGGCGTGAGCAAAAAAAATTGTTTTTGCTACTTTTTGTGGGCCACATCCATGAGAAGAGGAATTTTTGTCTACTAGCTGAGGAGTTTCCAAGTTTTTTTTTTTCGCTAATTGGTCTGCTACGGAGGCTATCTGAAGTATTTTAGAGTAAGTAATCATTTACCTTTTTTTTTTTTTCAAGACCTTTCAGTACTTTCATGTGTCAATTAAAAATGCTGCAGGCATCTTGCTACGGTTATAGCTAATGGATCTATTTGCCCTAGAAACCTGTTTCCCTCGTTTCAAGGTGCTTAACTTTATATTATATTATATATTAACCCTTCAGTTCCTTTTGTTTTTATTTTGCACTGTGTATTGTGTTGGACGTGGCTGCATTGCAGTTTGTTGGTCGCTCAATATCGGTGTTTTTAACTTTTAACATTTTACTTTGCACTGTATATTTGTGTTGGACGTGGCTGCATTGCAGTTGTTGGTCGCTCAATATTGGTGCTTTTTCTAACTATTTAACTGTTAACCTATTTTATTTGTTTTTATGCCTACAACACTCTCATTTACACACACCCTCCCTCCCTACCTTACCCACTATTTAGTGGAGACTTGGGAACCCTTTCATTAGGGATTCCATACCACACCTGTAATGCCACAAAGGTTGCTAGAGAAACTACTGTTTTTGTTTTTTTTTTTTTTTTTTTTTTTTTTTTTTTTTTTTTTCAAAGCTATGGTGGGTACCTAACAGTAGGGGTACCATTTTGGGTACTAGTCAACTCTTTGAATGGTTTATGGTGTTCACATACTTCCATTCACTCCACTTTATATTTTATTTTCAACTAATCTTCCTATTAATTTTTTTCAGCACAAACTACATATTAATTAACTCAGACATAGTTTAATCATTATCTCCCACAATTCACACCACTTACATATTTTTACTATCTCCTCCCACACTGGCACTTCATTTAGTTTTCACTAGTTCTTTATTATTATAATTATTTTTTAACTGCCTTTTATTTATTTTTCAATATATATGTATTTTGTTCTCTAATTTATTTACTCTACTTTGTTTAGATTAATTTTATTTGACCTATACAGGAGATCGAGATAGATTATTTTGAGCAATAAAATGGGAGTCTATCATGCAAGTACAACTTTTCTTTTGCATCTTCTCTCAGTCTTTTCTATTTCTTCAATTTCCTTCCTTCCTGGACTCGACACGGAATGTTGGGCATATGACCTGGTACCGGGTTAGAAACATTCCTGCTCAGTTGTGCTATGCCCCTGATGATTCACAACTTAAATTTAGAGCCTTGGTGTCGATGCATCCATTGTCCCAATATACCCGGGTCTCTTAACCTTCTCTTTCCTACTCTTCCATGTTTTCTTTTATCTGCAAATTACCTTTTTCTGCTTCCTGAATTTCACACTAAAAGTTTCAAGAACGAAGTAATTCGGGATGGGTATTCTTGTTGCTGTTGCTGTTGTTGTTTTATTTCTTTTCCCACTTCCTCTTTTTTTATTGTAGATGTTTTTTTTTTTGTTTTGTTTTGTTTTTTTGTTTTTGTTTTTGTTTTTTACTTGAGTCCCCTGTTCTTTTTTAACACCCTCCTTTAATTAGAACAGCTACAAATTTTTTTTTTTTCTTTACTCTCGATGTTCTAAAGAACGAAATAATATTATAGATCATCATATTTTGTGGTTAGCAATTTATCTTCTTTAATAACAACTTTTAAAGAGGGTTTAACCCCCCCTTTTTTTTCCTTTTTTTTTTTTTTTTTTTTCCCGCCCATTTCCTTTTTTTTCATGTAGCTGGGATAAATTCATGCCCATGCTCCTCCCATTTTCCACTGGAACAGCAACTGGCTTTTTAGCCACTTTCAAAGTTTTAAGAACGAAATAACATTACAGATAATTATATTTTCTGGTTGGCAGTTTATTTATTTATTTATCTATTTTTTTTTAAAAAAGTCATGTTTAAGTAGGGTAACCCCTTTTTTCATCCATTTTCGTTTTCATTTAGCTGGGATAAGTTCGTCCCCAGACTCCTCTCATTTTGTACGTCATCATGCTGACGATTAACTATGGCGTGAGCAGCAAAAAATTGTTTTTGCTACTTTTTGTGGGCCACATCCATGAGAAGAGGAATTTTTGTCTACTAGCTGAGGAGTTTCCAAGTTTTTTTTTGCTCGCTAATTGGTCTGCTACGGAGGCTATCTGAAGTATTTTAGAGTAAGTAATCATTTACCTTTTTTTTTTTTTCCAAGACCTTTCAGTACTTTCATGTGTCAATTAAAAATGCTGCAGGCATCTTGCTACGGTTATAGCTAATGGATCTATTTGCCCTAGAAACCTGTTTCCCTCGTTTCAAGGTGCTTAACTTTATATTATATTATATATTAACCCTTCAGTTCCTTTTGTTTTATTTTGCACTGTGTATTGTGTTGGACGTGGCTGCATTGCAGTTTGTTGGTCGCTCAATATCGGTGTTTTTAACTTTTAACATTTTACTTTGCACTGTATATTTGTGTTGGACGTGGCTGCATTGCAGTTGTTGGTCGCTCAATATTGGTGCTTTTTCTAACTATTTAACTGTTAACCTATTTTATTTGTTTTTATGCCTACAACACTCTCATTTACACACACCCTCCCTCCCTACCTTACCCACTATTTAGTGGAGACTTGGGAACCCTTTCATTAGGGATTCCATACCACACCTGTAATGCCACAAAGGTTGCTAGAGAAACTACTGTTTTTGTTTTTTTTTGTTTTTTTTTTTTTTTTTTTTTTTTTTCAGCTATGGTGGGTACCTAACAGTAGGGGTACCATTTTGGGTACTAGTCAACTCTTTGAATGGTTTATGGTGTTCACATACTTCCATTCACTCCACTTTATATTTTATTTTCAACTAATCTTCCTATTAATTTTTTCAGCACAAACTACATATTAATTAACTCAGACATAGTTTAATCATTATCTCCCACAATTCACACCACTTACATATTTTTACTATCTCCTCCCACACTGGCACTTCATTTAGTTTTCACTAGTTCTTTATTATTATAATTATTTTTTAACTGCCTTTTATTTATTTTTCAATATATATGTATTTTGTTCTCTAATTTATTTACTCTACTTTGTTTAGATTAATTTTATTTGACCTATACAGGAGATCGAGATAGATTATTTTGAGCAATAAAATGGGGAGTCTATCATGCAAGTACAACTTTTCTTTTGCATCTTCTCTCAGTCTTTTTCTATTTCTTCAATTTCCTTCCTTCCTGGACTCGACACGGGAATGTTGGGCATATGACCTGGTACCGGGTTAGAAACATTCCTGCTCAGTTGTGCTATGCCCCTGATGATTCACAACTTAAATTTAGAGCCTTGGTGTCGATGCATCCATTGTCCCAATATACCCGGGTCTCTTAACCTTCTCTTTCCTACTCTTCCATGTTTTCTTTTATCCATAAATTACCTTTTTCTGCTTCCTGAATTTCACACTAAAAAGTTTCAAGAACGGCAATTCGGGATGGGTATTCTTGTTGCTGTTGCTGTTGTTGTTTTATTTCTTTTCCCACTTCCTCTTTTTATTGTAGATGTTTTTTTTTTTTGTTTTGTTTTGTTTTTGTTTTTGTTTTTGTTTTTTACTTGAGTCCCCTGTTCTTTTTAACACCCTCCTTTAATTAGAACAGCTACAAATTTTTTTTTTTTTTTTTCTTTACTCGATGTTCTAAAGAACGAAATAATATTATAGATCATCATATTTTGTGGTTAGCAATTTATCTTCTTTAATAACAACTTTTAAAGAGGGTTTAACCCCCCCTTTTTCCTTCTTTTTTTTTTTTTTCCCGCCCATTTCCTTTTTTCATGTAGCTGGGATAAATTCATGCCCATGCTCCTCCCATTTTCCACTGGAACAGCAACTGGCTTTTTAGCCACTTTCAAAGTTTTAAGAACGAAATAACATTACAGATAATTATATTTTCTGGTTGGCAGTTTATTTATTTATTTATCTATTTTTTTAAAAAAGTCATGTTTAAGTAGGGTAACCCCCCTTTTTTCATCCATTTTCGTTTTCATTTAGCTGGGATAAGTTCGTCCCCAGACTCCTCTCATTTTGTACGTCATCATGCTGACGATTAACTATGGCGTGAGCAGCAAAAAAATTGTTTTTGCTACTTTTTGTGGGCCACATCCATGAGAAGAGGAATTTTTGTCTACTAGCTGAGGAGTTTCCAAGTTTTTTGCTCGCTAATTGGTCTGCTACGGAGGCTATCTGAAGTATTTTAGAGTAAGTAATCATTTACCTTTTTTTTTTTCCAAGACCTTTCAGTACTTTCATGTGTCAATTAAAAATGCTGCAGGCATCTTGCTACGGTTATAGCTAATGGATCTATTTGCCCTAGAAACCTGTTTCCCTCGTTTCAAGGTGCTTAACTTTATATTATATTATATATTAACCCTTCAGTTCCTTTTGTTTTATTTTGCACTGTGTATTGTGTTGGACGTGGCTGCATTGCAGTTTGTTGGTCGCTCAATATCGGTGTTTTTAACTTTTAACATTTTACTTTGCACTGTATATTTGTGTTGGACGTGGCTGCATTGCAGTTGTTGGTCGCTCAATATTGGTGCTTTTTCTAACTATTTAACTGTTAACCTATTTTATTTGTTTTTTATGCCTACAACACTCTCATTTACACACACCCTCCCTCCCTACCTTACCCACTATTTAGTGGAGACTTGGGAACCCTTTCATTAGGGATTCCATACCACACCTGTAATGCCACAAAGGTTGCTAGAGAAACTACTGTTTTTGTTTTTTTTTTTTTTTTTTTTTTTTTTTTTTTTCAAAGCTATGGTGGGTACCTAACAGTAGGGGTACCATTTTGGGTACTAGTCAACTCTTTGAATGGTTTATGGTGTTCACATACTTCCATTCACTCCACTTTATATTTTATTTTCAACTAATCTTCCTATTAATTTTTTCAGCACAAACTACATATTAATTAACTCAGACATAGTTTAATCATTATCTCCCACAATTCACACCACTTACATATTTTTTTACTATCTCCTCCCACACTGGCACTTCATTTAGTTTTCACTAGTTCTTTATTATTATAATTATTTTTTAACTGCCTTTTATTTATTTTTCAATATATATGTATTTTGTTCTCTAATTTATTTACTCTACTTTGTTTAGATTAATTTTATTTGACCTATACAGGAGATCGAGATAGATTATTTTGAGCAATAAAATGGGAGTCTATCATGCAAGTACAACTTTTCTTTTGCATCTTCTCTCAGTCTTTTTCTATTTCTTCAATTTCCTTCCTTCCTGGACTCGACACGGGAATGTTGGGCATATGACCTGGTACCGGGTTAGAAACATTCCTGCTCAGTTGTGCTATGCCCCTGATGATTCACAACTTAAATTTAGAGCCTTGGTGTCGATGCATCCATTGTCCCAATATACCCGGGTCTCTTAACCTTCTCTTTCCTACTCTTCCATGTTTTCTTTTATCCGCAAATTACCTTTTTCTGCTTCCTGAATTTCACACTAAAAAGTTTCAAGAACGAAGTAATTCGGGATGGGTATTCTTGTTGCTGTTGCTGTTGTTGTTTTATTTCTTTTCCCACTTCCTCTTTTTATTGTAGATGTTTTTTTTTTTTTTGTTTTGTTTTGTTTTTGTTTTTTGTTTTTGTTTTTTACTTGAGTCCCCTGTTCTTTTTAACACCCTCCTTTAATTAGAACAGCTACAAATTTTTTTTTTTTTACTCTCGATGTTCTAAAGAACGAAATAATATTATAGATCATCATATTTTGTGGTTAGCAATTTATCTTCTTTAATAACAACTTTTAAAGAGGGTTTAACCCCCCCTTTTTCTTCCTTTTTTTTTTTTTCCCCCATTTCCTTTTCATGTAGCTGGGATAAATTCATGCCCATGCTCCTCCCATTTTCCACTGGAACAGCAACTGGCTTTTTAGCCACTTTCAAAGTTTTAAGAACGAAATAACATTACAGATAATTATATTTTTCTGGTTGGCAGTTTATTTATTTATTTATCTATTTTTTAAAAAGTCATGTTTAAGTAGGGTAACCCCTTTTTTTCATCCATTTTCGTTTTCATTTAGCTGGGATAAGTTCGTCCCCAGACTCCTCTCATTTTGTACGTCATCATGCTGACGATTAACTATGGCGTGAGCAGCAAAAAATGTTTTTGCTACTTTTGTGGGCCACATCCATGAGAAGAGGAATTTTTGTCTACTAGCTGAGGAGTTTCCAAGTTTTTTTTGCTCGCTAATTGGTCTGCTACGGAGGCTATCTGAAGTATTTTAGAGTAAGTAATCATTTACCTTTTTTTTTTTCCAAGACCTTTCAGTACTTTCATGTGTCAATTAAAAATGCTGCAGGCATCTTGCTACGGTTATAGCTAATGGATCTATTTGCCCTAGAAACCTGTTTCCCTCGTTTCAAGGTGCTTAACTTTATATTATATTATATATTAACCCTTCAGTTCCTTTTGTTTTATTTTGCACTGTGTATTGTGTTGGACGTGGCTGCATTGCAGTTTGTTGGTCGCTCAATATCGGTGTTTTTAACTTTTAACATTTTACTTTGCACTGTATATTTGTGTTGGGCGTGGCTGCATTGCAGTTGTTGGTCGCTCAATATTGGTGCTTTTTCTAACTATTTAACTGTTAACCTATTTTATTTGTTTTTATGCCTACAACACTCTCATTTACACACCCTCCCTCCCTACCTTACCCACTATTTAGTGGAGACTTGGGAACCCTTTCATTAGGGATTCCATACCACACCTGTAATGCCACAAAGGTTGCTAGAGAAACTACTGTTTTGTTTTTTTTTTTTTTTTTGTTTTTTTTTTTTCAAAGCTATGGTGGGTACCTAACAGTAGGGGTACCATTTTGGGTACTAGTCAACTCTTTGAATGGTTTATGGTGTTCACATACTTCCATTCACTCCACTTTATATTTTATTTTCAACTAATCTTCCTATTAATTTTTTCAGCACAAACTACATATTAATTAACTCAGACATAGTTTAATCATTATCTCCCACAATTCACACCACTTACATATTTTTACTATCTCCTCCCACACTGGCACTTCATTTAGTTTTCACTAGTTCTTTATTATTATAATTATTTTTTAACTGCCTTTTATTTATTTTTCAATATATATGTATTTTGTTCTCTAATTTATTTACTCTACTTTGTTTAGATTAATTTTATTTGACCTATACAGGAGATCGAGATAGATTATTTTGAGCAATAAAATGGGAGTCTATCATGCAAGTACAACTTTTCTTTTGCATCTTCTCTCAGTCTTTTTCTATTTCTTCAATTTCCTTCCTTCCTGGACTCGACACGGGAATGTTGGGCATATGACCTGGTACCGGGTTAGAAACATTCCTGCTCAGTTGTGCTATGCCCCTGATGATTCTAACTTAAATTTAGAGCCTTGGTGTCGATGCATCCATTGTCCCAATATACCGGGTCTCTTAACCTTCTCTTTCCTACTCTTCCATGTTTTCTTTTATCCATAAATTACCTTTTTCTGCTTCCTGGAATTTCACACTAAAAGTTTCAAGAACGAAGTAATTCGGGATGGGTATTCTTGTTGCTGTTGCTGTTGTTGTTTTATTTCTTTTCCCACTTCCTCTTTTTATTGTAGATGTTTTTTTTTTTTTGTTTTTTGTTTTTTTTTTGTTTTTTTTTTTACTTGAGTCCCTGTTCTTTTTAACACCCTCCTTTAATTAGAACAGCTACAAATTTTTTTTTTTTTTTCTTTACTCTCGATGTTCTAAAGAACGAAATAATATTATAGATCATCATATTTTGTGGTTAGTAATTTATCTTCTTTAATAACAACTTTTAAAGGGTTTAACCCCCCTTTTCTTCCTTTTTTTTTTTTTTCCGCCCATTTCCTTTTCATGTAGCTGGGATAAATTCATGCCCATGCTCCTCCCATTTTCCACTGGAACAGCAACTGGCTTTTAGCCACTTTCAAAGTTTTAAGAACGAAATAACATTACAGATAATTATATTTTCTGGTTGGCAGTTTATTTATTTATTTATCTATTTTTTTAAAAAGTCATGTTTAAGTAGGGTAACCCCTTTTTCATCCATTTTCGTTTCATTTAGCTGGGATAAGTTCGTCCCCAGACTCCTCTCATTTTGTACGTCATCATGCTGACGATTAACTATGGCGTGAGCAGCAAAAAAATTGTTTTTGCTACTTTTTGTGGGCCACATCCATGAGAAGAGGAATTTTTGTCTACTAGCTGAGGAGTTTCCAAGTTTTTTTGCTCGCTAATTGGTCTGCTACGGAGGCTATCTGAAGTATTTTAGAGTAAGTAATCATTTACCTTTTTTTTTTCCAAGACCTTTCAGTACTTTCATGTGTCAATTAAAAATGCTGCAGGCATCTTGCTACGGTTATAGCTAATGGATCTATTTGCCCTAGAAACCTGTTTCCCTCGTTTCAAGGTGCTTAACTTTATATTATATTATATATTAACCCTTCAGTTCCTTTTGTTTTATTTTGCACTGTGTATTGTGTTGGACGTGGCTGCATTGCAGTTTGTTGGTCGCTCAATATCGGTGTTTTTAACTTTTAACATTTTACTTTGCACTGTATATTTGTGTTGGACGTGGCTGCATTGCAGTTGTTGGTCGCTCAATATTGGTGCTTTTTCTAACTATTTAACTGTTAACCTATTTTATTTGTTTTTTATGCCTACAACACTCTCATTTACACACCCCTCCCTCCCTACCTTACCCACTATTTAGTGGAGACTTGGGAACCCTTTCATTAGGGATTCCATACCACACCTGTAATGCCACAAAGGTTGCTAGAGAAACTACTGTTTTTGTTTTTTTTTTTTTTTTTTTTTTTTTTTTTCAAAGCTATGGTGGGTACCTAACAGTAGGGGTACCATTTTGGGTACTAGTCAACTCTTTGAATGGTTTATGGTGTTCACATACTTCCATTCACTCCACTTTATATTTTATTTTCAACTAATCTTCCTATTAATTTTTTTCAGCACAAACTACATATTAATTAACTCAGACATAGTTTAATCATTATCTCCCACAATTCACACCACTTACATATTTTTACTATCTCCTCCCACACTGGCACTTCATTTAGTTTTCACTAGTTCTTTATTATTATAATTATTTTTAACTGCCTTTTATTTATTTTTCAATATATATGTTTTTGTTCTCTAATTTATTTACTCTACTTTGTTTAGATTAATTTTATTTGACCTATACAGGAGATCGAGATAGATTATTTTGAGCAATAAAATGGGAGTCTATCATGCAAGTACAACTTTTCTTTTGCATCTTCTCTCAGTCTTTTTTCTATTTCTTCAATTTCCTTCCTTCCTGGACTCGACACCTGGAATGTTGGGCATATGACCTGGTACCGGGTTAGAAACATTCCTGCTCAGTTGTGCTATGCCCCTGATGATTCACAACTTAAATTTAGAGCCTTGGTGTCGATGCATCCATTGTCCCAATATACCGGGTCTCTTAACCTTCTCTTTCCTACTCTTCCATGTTTTCTTTTATCCATAAATTACCTTTTTCTGCTTCCTGGAATTTCACACTAAAAAGTTTCAAAACGAAGTAATTCGGGATGGGTATTCTTGTTGCTGTTGCTGTTGTTGTTTTATTTCTTTTCCCACTTCCTCTTTTTATTGTAGATGTTTTTTTTTTGTTTTGTTTTGTTTTTGTTTTTGTTTTTGTTTTTTACTTGAGTCCCTGTTCTTTTTAACACCCTCCTTTAATTAGAACAGCTACAAATTTTTTTTTTTTTACTCTCGATGTTCTAAAGAACGAAATAATATTATAGATCATCATATTTTTTGTGGTTAGCAATTTATCTTCTTTAATAACAACTTTTAAAGAGGGTTTAACCCCCTTTTTCTTCCTTTTTTTTTTTTTTTTTTTCCCATTTCCTTTTTCATGTAGCTGGGATAAATTCATGCCCATGCTCCTCCATTTTTCCACTGGAACAGCAACTGGCTTTTTAGCCACTTTCAAAGTTTTAAGAACGAAATAACATTACAGATAATTATATTTTCTGGTTGGCAGTTTATTTATTTATTTATCTATTTTTAAAAAGTCATGTTTAAGTAGGGTAACCCCCTTTTTTCATCCATTTTCGTTTTCATTTAGCTGGGATAAGTTCGTCCCCAGACTCCTCTCATTTTGTACGTCATCATGCTGACGATTAACTATAAGGCGTGAGCAGCAAAAAATTGTTTTTGCTACTTTTTGTGGGCCACATCCATGAGAAGAGGAATTTTTGTCTACTAGCTGAGGAGTTTCCAAGTTTTTTTTGCTCGCTAATTGGTCTGCTACGGAGGCTATCTGAAGTATTTTAGAGTAAGTAATCATTTACCTTTTTTTTTTTTTTTCAAGACCTTTCAGTACTTTCATGTGTCAATTAAAAATGCTGCAGGCATCTTGCTACGATTATAGCTAATGGATCTATTTGCCCTAGAAACCTGTTTCCCTCGTTTCAAGGTGCTTAACTTTATATTATATTATATATTAACCCTTCAGTTCCTTTTGTTTTATTTTTTGCACTGTGTATTGTGTTGGACGTGGCTGCATTGCAGTTTGTTGGTCGCTCAATATCGGTGTTTTTTAACTTTTAACATTTTACTTTGCACTGTATATTTGTGTTGGACGTGGCTGCATTGCAGTTGTTGGTCGCTCAATATTGGTGCTTTTTCTAACTATTTAACTGTTAACCTATTTTATTTGTTTTTATGCCTACAACACTCTCATTTACACACACCTCCCTCCCTACCTTACCCACTATTTAGTGGAGACTTGGGAACCCTTTCATTAGGGATTCCATACCACACCTGTAATGCCACAAAGGTTGCTAGAGAAACTACTGTTTTTGTTTTTTTTTGTTTTTTTTTTTTTTGTTTTTTTTTTTTCAAAGCTATGGTGGGTACCTAACAGTAGGGGTACCATTTTGGGTACTAGTCAACTCTTTGAATGGTTTATGGTGTTCACATACTTCCATTCACTCCACTTTATATTTTATTTTCAACTAATCTTCCTATTAATTTTTTCAGCACAAACTACATATTAATTAACTCAGACATAGTTTAATCATTATCTCCCACAATTCACACCACTTACATATTTTTACTATCTCCTCCCACACTGGCACTTCATTTAGTTTTCACTAGTTCTTTATTATTATAATTATTTTTTAACTGCCTTTTATTTATTTTTCAATATATATGTATTTTGTTCTCTAATTTATTTACTCTACTTTGTTTAGATTAATTTTATTTGACCTATACAGGAGATCGAGATAGATTATTTTGAGCAATAAAATGGGGAGTCTATCATGCAAGTACAACTTTTCTTTTGCATCTTCTCTCAGTCTTTTTCTATTTCTTCAATTTCCTTCCTTCCTGGACTCGACACGGGAATGTTGGGCATATGACCTGGTACCGGGTTAGAAACATTCCTGCTCAGTTGTGCTATGCCCCTGATGATTCACAACTTAAATTTAGAGCCTTGGTGTCGATGCATCCATTGTCCCAATATACCCGGGTCTCTTAACCTTCTCTTTCCTACTCTTCCATGTTTTCTTTTATCCGCAAATTACCTTTTTCTGCTTCCTGGAATTTCACACTAAAAAGTTTCAAGAACGAAGTAATTCGGGATGGGTATTCTTGTTGCTGTTGCTGTTGTTGTTTTATTTCTTTTCCCACTTCCTCTTTTTATTGTAGATGTTTTTTTTTTTGTTTTGTTTTGTTTTTGTTTTTGTTTTTGTTTTTTACTTGAGTCCCCTGTTCTTTTTTAACACCCTCCTTTAATTAGAACAGCTACAAATTTTTTTTTTTTCTTTACTCTCGATGTTCTAAAGAACGAAATAATATTATAGATCATCATATTTTGTGGTTAGCAATTTATCTTCTTTAATAACAACTTTTAAAGAGGGTTTAACCCCCCCTTTTTCTTCCTTTTTTTTTTTTTCCCGCCCATTTCCTTTTTCATGTAGCTGGGATAAATTCATGCCCATGCTCCTCCCATTTTCCACTGGAACAGCAACTGGCTTTTTAGCCACTTTCAAAGTTTTAAGAACGAAATAACATTACAGATAATTATATTTTCTGGTTGGCAGTTTATTTATTTATTTATCTATTTTTTAAAAAAGTCATGTTTAAGTAGGGTAACCCCCTTTTTTCATCCATTTTCGTTTTCATTTAGCTGGGATAAGTTCGTCCCCAGACTCCTCTCATTTTGTACGTCATCATGCTGACGATTAACTATGGCGTGAGCAGCAAAAAAATTGTTTTTGCTACTTTTTGTGGGCCACATCCATGAGAAGAGGAATTTTTGTCTACTAGCTGAGGAGTTTCCAAGTTTTTTTGCTCGCTAATTGGTCTGCTACGGAGGCTATCTGAAGTATTTTAGAGTAAGTAATCATTTACCTTTTTTTTTTTTTTTCCAAGACCTTTCAGTACTTTCATGTGTCAATTAAAAATGCTGCAGGCATCTTGCTACAGTTATAGCTAATGGATCTATTTGCCCTAGAAACCTGTTTCCCTCGTTTCAAGGTGCTTAACTTTATATTATATTATATATTAACCCTTCAGTTCCTTTTGTTTTATTTTGCACTGTGTATTGTGTTGGACGTGGCTGCATTGCAGTTTGTTGGTCGCTCAATATCGGTGTTTTTAACTTTTAACATTTTACTTTGCACTGTATATTTGTGTTGGACGTGGCTGCATTGCAGTTGTTGGTCGCTCAATATTGGTGCTTTTTCTAACTATTTAACTGTTAACCTATTTTATTTGTTTTTATGCCTACAACACTCTCATTTACACACACCCTCCCTCCCTACCTTACCCACTATTTAGTGGAGACTTGGGAACCCTTTCATTAGGGATTCCATACCACACCTGTAATGCCACAAAGGTTGCTAGAGAAACTACTGTTTTTTTTTTTTTTTTTTTTTTTTTTTTTTTTTTTTTTTTTTCAAAGCTATGGTGGGTACCTAACAGTAGGGGTACCATTTTGGGTACTAGTCAACTCTTTGAATGGTTTATGGTGTTCACATACTTCCATTCACTCCACTTTATATTTTATTTTCAACTAATCTTCCTATTAATTTTTTCAGCACAAACTACATATTAATTAACTCAGACATAGTTTAATCATTATCTCCCACAATTCACACCACTTACATATTTTTTTACTATCTCCTCCCACACTGGCACTTCATTTAGTTTTCACTAGTTCTTTATTATTATAATTATTTTTTTAACTGCCTTTTATTTATTTTTCAATATATATGTATTTTGTTCTCTAATTTATTTACTCTACTTTGTTTAGATTAATTTTATTTGACCTATACAGGAGATCGAGATAGATTATTTTGAGCAATAAAATGGGGAGTCTATCATGCAAGTACAACTTTTCTTTTGCATCTTCTCTCAGTCTTTTTCTATTTCTTCAATTTCCTTCCTTCCTGGACTCGACACGGGAATGTTGGGCATATGACCTGGTACCGGGTTAGAAACATTCCTGCTCAGTTGTGCTATGCCCCTGATGATTCACAACTTAAATTTAGAGCCTTGGTGTCGATGCATCCATTGTCCCAATATACCCGGGTCTCTTAACCTTCTCTTTCCTACTCTTCCATGTTTTCTTTTATCCGCAAATTACCTTTTTCTGCTTCCTGGAATTTCACACTAAAAAGTTTCAAGAACGAAGTAATTCGGGATGGGTATTCTTGTTGCTGTTGCTGTTGTTGTTTTATTTCTTTTCCCACTTCCTCTTTTTATTGTAGATGTTTTTTTTTTTGTTTTGTTTTGTTTTTGTTTTTGTTTTTGTTTTTTACTTGAGTCCCCTGTTCTTTTTTAACACCCTCCTTTAATTAGAACAGCTACAAATTTTTTTTTTTTCTTTACTCTCGATGTTCTAAAGAACGAAATAATATTATAGATCATCATATTTTGTGGTTAGCAATTTATCTTCTTTAATAACAACTTTTAAAGAGGGTTTAACCCCCCCTTTTTCTTCCTTTTTTTTTTTTTCCCGCCCATTTCCTTTTTCATGTAGCTGGGATAAATTCATGCCCATGCTCCTCCCATTTTCCACTGGAACAGCAACTGGCTTTTTAGCCACTTTCAAAGTTTTAAGAACGAAATAACATTACAGATAATTATATTTTCTGGTTGGCAGTTTATTTATTTATTTATCTATTTTTTAAAAAAGTCATGTTTAAGTAGGGTAACCCCCTTTTTTCATCCATTTTCGTTTTCATTTAGCTGGGATAAGTTCGTCCCCAGACTCCTCTCATTTTGTACGTCATCATGCTGACGATTAACTATGGCGTGAGCAGCAAAAAAATTGTTTTTGCTACTTTTTGTGGGCCACATCCATGAGAAGAGGAATTTTTGTCTACTAGCTGAGGAGTTTCCAAGTTTTTTTGCTCGCTAATTGGTCTGCTACGGAGGCTATCTGAAGTATTTTAGAGTAAGTAATCATTTACCTTTTTTTTTTCCAAGACCTTTCAGTACTTTCATGTGTCAATTAAAAATGCTGCAGGCATCTTGCTACGGTTATAGCTAATGGATCTATTTGCCCTAGAAACCTGTTTCCCTCGTTTCAAGGTGCTTAACTTTATATTATATTATATATTAACCCTTCAGTTCCTTTTGTTTTATTTTGCACTGTGTATTGTGTTGGACGTGGCTGCATTGCAGTTTGTTGGTCGCTCAATATCGGTGTTTTTAACTTTTAACATTTTACTTTGCACTGTATATTTGTGTTGGACGTGGCTGCATTGCAGTTGTTGGTCGCTCAATATTGGTGCTTTTTCTAACTATTTAACTGTTAACCTATTTTATTTGTTTTTATGCCTACAACACTCTCATTTACACACACCCTCCCTCCCTACCTTACCCACTATTTAGTGGAGACTTGGGAACCCTTTCATTAGGGATTCCATACCACACCTGTAATGCCACAAAGGTTGCTAGAGAAACTACTGTTTTTTTTTTTTTTTTTTTTTTTTTTTTTTTTTTTTTTTTCAAAGCTATGGTGGGTACCTAACAGTAGGGGTACCATTTTGGGTACTAGTCAACTCTTTGAATGGTTTATGGTGTTCACATACTTCCATTCACTCCACTTTATATTTTATTTTCAACTAATCTTCCTATTAATTTTTTTCAGCACAAACTACATATTAATTAACTCAGACATAGTTTAATCATTATCTCCCACAATTCACACCACTTACATATTTTTTACTATCTCCTCCCACACTGGCACTTCATTTAGTTTTCACTAGTTCTTTATTATTATAATTATTTTTTAACTGCCTTTTATTTATTTTTCAATATATATGTATTTTGTTCTCTAATTTATTTACTCTACTTTGTTTAGATTAATTTTATTTGACCTATACAGGAGATCGAGATAGATTATTTTGAGCAATAAAATGGGGAGTCTATCATGCAAGTACAACTTTTCTTTTGCATCTTCTCTCAGTCTTTTTCTATTTCTTCAATTTCCTTCCTTCCTGGACTCGACACGGGAATGTTGGGCATATGACCTGGTACCGGGTTAGAAACATTCCTGCTCAGTTGTGCTATGCCCCTGATGATTCACAACTTAAATTTAGAGCCTTGGTGTCGATGCATCCATTGTCCCAATATACCCGGGTCTCTTAACCTTCTCTTTCCTACTCTTCCATGTTTTCTTTTATCCGCAAATTACCTTTTTCTGCTTCCTGGAATTTCACACTAAAAAGTTTCAAGAACGAAGTAATTCGGGATGGGTATTCTTGTTGCTGTTGCTGTTGTTGTTTTATTTCTTTTCCCACTTCCTCTTTTTATTGTAGATGTTTTTTTTTTTTGTTTTGTTTTGTTTTTGTTTTTGTTTTTGTTTTTTACTTGAGTCCCCTGTTCTTTTTTAACACCCTCCTTTAATTAGAACAGCTACAAATTTTTTTTTTTTCTTTACTCTCGATGTTCTAAAGAACGAAATAATATTATAGATCATCATATTTTGTGGTTAGCAATTTATCTTCTTTAATAACAACTTTTAAAGAGGGTTTAACCCCCCCTTTTTCTTCCTTTTTTTTTTTTTTCCCCCCCTTTTCCTTTTTCATGTAGCTGGGATAAATTCATGCCCATGCTCCTCCCATTTTCCACTGGAACAGCAACTGGCTTTTTAGCCACTTTCAAAGTTTTAAGAACGAAATAACATTACAGATAATTATATTTTCTGGTTGGCAGTTTATTTATTTATTTATCTATTTTTTAAAAAAGTCATGTTTAAGTAGGGTAACCCCCTTTTTTCATCCATTTTCGTTTTCATTTAGCTGGGATAAGTTCGTCCCCAGACTCCTCTCATTTTGTACGTCATCATGCTGACGATTAACTATGGCGTGAGCAGCAAAAAAATTGTTTTTGCTACTTTTTGTGGGCCACATCCATGAGAAGAGGAATTTTTGTCTACTAGCTGAGGAGTTTCCAAGTTTTTTTGCTCGCTAATTGGTCTGCTACGGAGGCTATCTGAAGTATTTTAGAGTAAGTAATCATTTACCTTTTTTTTTTCCAAGACCTTTCAGTACTTTCATGTGTCAATTAAAAATGCTGCAGGCATCTTGCTACGGTTATAGCTAATGGATCTATTTGCCCTAGAAACCTGTTTCCCTCGTTTCAAGGTGCTTAACTTTATATTATATTATATATTAACCCTTCAGTTCCTTTTGTTTTATTTTGCACTGTGTATTGTGTTGGACGTGGCTGCATTGCAGTTTGTTGGTCGCTCAATATCGGTGTTTTTAACTTTTAACATTTTACTTTGCACTGTATATTTGTGTTGGACGTGGCTGCATTGCAGTTGTTGGTCGCTCAATATTGGTGCTTTTTCTAACTATTTAACTGTTAACCTATTTTATTTGTTTTTATGCCTACAACACTCTCATTTTTACACACCCTCCCTCCCTACCTTACCCACTATTTAGTGGAGACTTGGGAACCCTTTCATTAGGGATTCCATACCACACCTGTAATGCCACAAAGGTTGCTAGAGAAACTACTGTTTTTTTTTTTTTTTTTTTTTTTTTTTTTTTTTTTTTTTTTTCAAAGCAGTGGAAGAAAAAAGTTCGATGAAACATCAGTTACATTAACAGCTGTCCAATTATTTACAGCACTTTCCAAGTCACAACGCCAAGCCCGTTTGTCTTTTTCCAAGCCTCCGTTAACAAGGACGTTTATTGAACAAACAAAACACCACAGCCAAATAAAGACAATGGCTTTTTTCAAATGTCGGGAGATTGGCGATAATTGTAACGGTCGATTCACCGCACAAAAGCGATCAACTGCGATCATTACAAGGATCCAAACTGAAAAATACGGTGCAATGGACATGATGACGAGATGTAATTTGCATGTGATTTGGCCAAACAGTCCCCCAAACCACAAACCGTCAAGATAGATGTGATGGAACACATTCACTGACTGTGTGATTGTTATCAGCAAATCATCGCATGCTTGATTCAAAATGAGGAAATTTGTGGTGGTCCTCATGGCGTTGTCGGATCTTATTATGTGAATGATGACTGAGTTGCCAAGTAACGACATCGTGATTATAATGGAGTGGGCCGATGACAACCACATTTGTTGCTGGGGAGACATTTTCTCTGTTACTCCAGTAAAGTTGTCTACAAAAAGGAAAAGGGTATATTTGTTTTATCTCTAATAATGAAAATTAAACGGTGCATACTTTTATACATGGTTGGTTATTAAAAGAAGAAAATAACTAGAGCTGATTTGTATGCGCATTGTAAAACAGAGTCTTGCCAGTTTGGCACTTCCACATCTTCCCATTATAGAGCGTTCACACGACGTCAGGGCGGCCATGTTGGTACGGAGTTTTAGCTACGACAACCGCGACGGCGACGGCGACGGCGACGAGAACGTCATAACAGCCATAGGTTTATTAAGCAAAACAACAATTTTTTACACGTGTATTACGCTTTTTTGTACATTTCTTTGCTGGCCGTTACTGCACGACTACGACTTGAAAATACCTAATTTTACGTTTTATGAAGGACGTAAACAAGGCGACGACGAAGTTATCTTTCTCTTTCTAAACTTGAGTGCGGTCCCCAAGAAATCAACTCCAGGGAAATTTGCCTACTTTAGATATTTTCAGCAAATTGGAATAAACGCGACAGCGTTTGAAAAAACGCTAATTCATTTTAAAAGTGACATTTTCGCTGCCCTCGCCGTCGTCGATGCTAAAACTCCCTGGTGCTCGAAAACAATGAAACGGCGGCCATGTTGGTGTTCCAAACCAGTGCTGTGGGAGTTGAACTGTTTTCTTATGTAAACGCTTTCTTTATTTCCCATAACTTTGCATAGATGCTGGCCACGTGAGTGACAACGTTCCATAAACTTGGTTCAACATTTGCCAGCTGGCTCTAGTTTCTATTTTTTCGTTTTAAACTTTCAAGTAAAAAGGTGAACATTAGCCGGCCGTCGGAATCTATATATTATTAGAACGTACAAACACCTTCAGCTTCAGTCGGCGGTTTTAGAGGACGTCTTTTAGAGGACGTCTTAAGGACAGTTAATTTAAAATAAGGAAAAATTTAACATATATCTACAAAATAGCAAAAAATACACATTGTATGCAAGACTTATAACTCTTGCAATAATGAAGTGACTGACCGCCCATGGAAGGCTCATACCTCTATGAGTTCTATTTATCAAGTCCATTTTTTACTTCCTCGTCCGTTGTTCAAAAAAAATATGAGAACTAGAACTAAGAGAAAAAAATTACCAACACATGATTATCATAAAAGTCATCGTTAGCCTCCTGCTGAATATGATTAAAATTACAAAGGGAAGTGTTAGCCTATTACTAATAAAAAGTAATGCATTTTGCATCCCTGTGAAGAAATAAATAATTTGAGTTTGCCCCTATTGTGCGGACAGAATTTGTATAATCCAAGAGTCGTGAACCTAACGATGAAAATAGCAATCCTCTTTTATTCAGTAAAAGCAAACGGACTGAAATGTAAGAAAATATATAAAATATTTTTGTATGAAGTCGGACTGTTGCAGACGTTTAGATGATGGAGTGTTGTGAGAAGCTAGAGAGCGCGAAAGAAAGGCCTGCCTACATCTCTTTGCGCCGTCCTCACACTGAAAACCAGAAATAGATGAAGAGCATTCTTTGGGGAGCTATTAAAACATAGACTAGTTTTATTTACATTAAGGGCGTAGTGGTGGAGGAAGTATTAATTTCCCTCAACAGTGAGGAGTTTCTTACGAAAAATGGTAATTTGTAGGTATTGTTTTAGTTTGTCGTATAAAAACTTTAAAAATATAATGTATGATTGTTTTCTCACTTGTGGTTCTATCTGGTGTTGTTTTGCAAACAGCCCTGCTTCTTCGATCCTAGTATGGAAGTTTCTTCATATATTCTCTAAGGATGTAAGCTGTACAAAGGTGTTCTAGGAAAGTTTACCTGACTCGGGCCTAGAACGTGCCTCGTTCCTTCTAGCTCAACCAATGTATTCAGTACTATTAATACTCTACTATGCAGTATACCAGCACTCAGTATGATAGTTACGGGAGTTTTCTCATTTCAGTTTTATTTACATGACAAAGAAACAGCATAAAGCAAAAAGAAAGCAATTTTATGGCTATTTATTTAGTGGGAGTTATTGAAAACGTACTTCTAAGATTCGTTGCCGCCATCAAAATGATTTCTTATCTCTGGAGCTTTAAATAACAGTTTTGATTACATGCATGTTCAGACGCCTTGAGCAAGGACGGTGTAAATCAAAGTAAAAGTATTTTGAAAGGCAGGCAAGTTCTATGTACTCAGTTGAGAACAATGAAATAAAACTTTACATTTAATTTATTGAATTAATTCAGTGAGCTATTCCGCTTCGTTACACATACTTTTTTGGCAGTATAACAACAGTTGCAGATTTCGAACTCCTTTGTATAACCGACCGAAGATACAAAATCAGATTTATTTTATATTTGTTCCAACTCTACGCTCTGAGAACGAGCAGAAAGGAAATTGTGGACTTTTCCAAGGCAATCCTCAAATAAAAGTTTAAAACCATTTCGGAACTTTTGACTAAATGTGAGATAGACATATGGATTAAGTCCACTGTAAGCGATTGTTAACCAAACGATAAACAAAAGCAAATTAGGATTTACTTTGATATAACCATAACGAAGAAATTTGCTAGAAATCATAATGAAGTAAGGCAGCCGACAGAGTAGGTATAACACCACCACAGCAATCATCATCCGGGTCACTTTCTTGGCAATTTTCAACGCTTCTGCTTGCCGCTCATTCTGATTGGTTCCTTCCCCTGGTATGTCACGTGACCATAGTTTAAGGCAGACTATTGAATATAGAACTATGATTAGCAAAAGAGGAAGGAAAAAGTTAAGGACAAGCTCGAAGATTGCTATTGCTCTCCACGCGTCCGCATGCTTTTTTTCAACTGGAAAAGTATTCAGGTTGCAATGATAATGACCGCCAGTTCTTATTTCTAACTCGGCTAAGGGAACGTAGTAAGTTGCGGAAGCAATAGACCAAACCCACAGAAAGACAGCTGTTTTCTTGAAATGACGAGATAAAGGAGAGATCATGAAAAGTCGCGTTACGGCATAAAAGCGATCAACAGCAATGGCAACAAGAATCCAAACAGAGAAAACAGGAAGAATAACAACGCTCGCTTTTAACAATCTGCACGTGATATCTCCCCATAATCCTCCAAACCACTTACTCCCGAGAGAAAGTAAAAAATAGCTGAATGTCTGAAGGGTTGTCGTCAAAATATCAGCACAAGCTTGATTAAAGATCAAATAGTTTGTGATAGTCTTCATAGAATGATCTGTTCTTATGACGTGAATGATAACTGAATTGCCAAATAATGAGGCCACGAAAGTGATTACATTAGCGCCAAATAGCTGCCATATAAAGTCGATAGGTGGTTGCCCATGATCTGTTCTTGTTAAGTTATCTGAAGATTAAGGCAAAAGAATTTATCGTCATTACTATTATCATCATCATCATCATCATCTTACGTTACTGTTGACATTTTAAAAACCTTCAAGAATAGTAGAAAGTAAAACCATTGTAGAATGTAATTCTGAAACGAAATTTCTCACTGGATCTTATTCATTAAGGGCAAAGACAGATACATTTCTATGTTGTCGTAATTCCCTAGAAAACCATACCGATTTCACATCATATATTGCACGGGGGAAAATCCATACCTTTGTCAGACCAAAACTAACCTCAGCGAAAAACCACGCCCTTTAGGCGGGCCAAACCTGTACAATTTTACCGTAGGTAGCTACGCCTCCACCAGAACGGCCCCCCGCCCCCACGCCCCGCAGCTTCCGCAGTAATAAATTATTTCATTTCTACCACTGTGATGGTTATTGGGTTTCAATCAAAGCAGTTTGCTTTACAGCCACCAGTTAACTGCGCGCCAACTTATTTAAACAAATATACATTCAAATCTAACAAATTTCCGCTTTCAGTTCTAAATTGAAGTAAACACTACTTTTTAATTAGAAATAGCCTTTTTATGGTAAGAGCTACCGGGTCGAAAATGGAGGTAAAAAGTGTAGCTTTGTTAGAAAAAAAAAATGCCAAATGGTCTTCCTCGCACATGATCGTTTTATGGATTATTTATAATTAAACAAAAGTGAACTTGGACTGTAGGCGCATACTTAAAAATTAGTAAATGTACGTTGTCCATAACTGAGCAATGACATATTGCAATTATAAACGAAACTTCTGATAGCCCATTTTTATCTCCCAATTTTCCAGGAGACCTTTTACCTGTTAAGAATTAGAGATTTAGTACCTTGTGACTGAAAATCGAGGCTAATGTTAAAAATTGATTTCATATTAGGTCCTGCCATGGCAAGCTAGAGACAGCGAGTCGAATTACCCTTCCAAACCAATAGTCAGCTACTCAATTGTAAGATTTGCTGCGAGAAAGTTATGATAAGAAATTAAAATGATTAGTTTGGAGGATGAAATTGTTGTTGTTCCTTCTTTTCCGATCCTTTTTCTCTCAAGGTAGCGACCTTTGCGTCATTCATCCTATTGACTGTAGTGTCCAATTCTAGACAAGAATGTTACGCTTTTCCTTATATTGAGAAAACTGATAAAATCAGTTTGAAACGGCAAGATTTGAATTCAGGTTTAAATTGTATTGACCTTTGTTTCAAACTACTTATCACACATTACCATACCACAGAATAAAGAAAAATAAAATTTAAATCAAGGTTAAAATTGAACCACAACGTATGGAAGGTTCTTCCTATATTCCCTAAGAATGAAAGCTGTACTAAGATGTTCTAGAGGGAAGTCCACCTGACGCGGGCAAACAACGTGCCTCAGTTCCTTCTAGTCAACCACTTGCATTCAGCACTATTAATACACAACCTTGCAGTATACCACTACAGTATAGCGTATGATATTAGCAGGACTTTTCTCATTTCAATTTCATTTGCATGATAAAAAAAAAAGCATAAGGCAAATCAAAGCAATGTTATGGCTATTTGTTTAGTGGGAGTCAGATTGAAAACGTACCTCTAAGATTCGTTTCATCAAATTGATTTCTTGTCTCTGTAGCTTCAATTAAACTTTTTGATTACATGTTCGGACGAATTGAGCGAGGAAGGTGGAAAACGAAGTAAAAGTATTTTGAAAGGCAGGCAAGTTCTATGTACTCAGTTGAGAACAATGAAATAGAACTTTACATTTAATTTATTGAATTAATTCAATGAGCTATTCTGCTTCGTGACACATGCGTTTTTGGCAGTATAACAACAATTGCAGGTTTCGAACTCCTTTTATAACCGACCGAAGATACAAAATCAAATTCATTTTATATTTGTTCCAACTCTACGCTCTGAGAACGAGCAGAAAGGAAATTGTGGACTTTTCCAAGGCAATCCTCAAATAAAAGTTTAAAACCATTTCGGAACTTTTGACTAAATGTGAGATAAACATATGGATTAAGTCCACAGTAAGCGATTGTTAACCAAACGATAAACAAAAAGCAAATTAGGGTTTACGTTGACATAACCATAACGAAGAATACTGCTAGAAAACAAAACGAAGAAAGGCAGCCAACAGAGTAAGTACAACACCACCACAGCAATCATCATCCGGGTCACTTTCTTAGCAATTTTCAACGCTTCTGCTTGCCGCTCATTCTGATTGGTTCCTTCTCCTGGTATGTCACGTGACCATAGTTTAAGGCAAACAATTGAATATAGAACTATGATTGGCAAAAGAGGAAGAAAAACGTTAAGGACAAGCTCTGAGATTCCTATTGCTCTCCACGCGTCCGCATGCTTTTTTCGACTGGAAAAGTATTCAGGTTGCAATGATAATGACCGTCAGTTCTTACTTCTAACTTGGCTAAGGTAATGAAGTAAGTTGCGGAAGCAATAGACCAAACCCACAGAAAGACAACTGTTTTCTTGAAATGACGAGATAAAGGAGAGGTCATAAAAGGTCGCGTTACGGCATAAAAGCGATCAACAGCAATGGCAACAAGAATCCAAACAGAGAAATTAGGAAGAATAACAACGCTCGTTTTTAACAATTTGCACGTGATATCTCCCCATAATCCTCCAAACCACTTACTCCCGAGAGAAAGTAAAAAATAGCTGAATGTCTGAAGGGTTGTCGTCAAAATATCAGCACAAGCTTGATTCAAGATCAAATAGTTTGTGGTAGTCTTCATAGAATGGTCTGTTCTTATGACGTGAATGATAACTGAATTACCAAATAATGAGGCCACGAATGCGATTACATTAGCAACAAATAACTGCCATATAAAGTCGATAGGTGGTTGCCCATGATCTGTTCTTGTTAAGTTATCTGAAGATTAAGGCAAAAGAATTTATCGTCATTACTAGTATCATCATCATCATCTTACGTTACTTTTCACATTTTAAAAAACCTTTAAAGTTAAGTAAAACCATTGTAGGATGTAATTCTGAAGCGAAATTTCTTATTGGATCTTATTCATTTAGAGTAAAGACAAATACACTTATATGCTGTCGTAGTTCCCTAGAAAACCATACCGATTTTATGTGATATTGCAGGGGCAAAATCCATAACTCTCTGAGACCAAAATTAACCGACTGCAGCGAAAAAACCACGCCCCTTAGGCGGGCCAAACGTATAGAGCTTATTTGGAAATAGCTGATATACTATTTATTGTATACGACTCCAAGTAAAAAACATGTATGTATGTATAAACATTAACCAAAAGGGACTGCAAAGGACCGCAAACGAATATGCCGAAGAACGTAGGATCTATATAAAGACCTGATCAGCAAAAATAATAATGTAGACATATTAAATTCTGCAAGCAGAATACTGCAATGCTGATCAGCATTGCGGTATTCTGCTTGCAGAATTTATTATGTCTATGTATGTATGTATGTATGTATGTATGTATGTACCATGGGTAGCTACGCCTCCAGAAGCCCCCGCCTCGCAACTTCCGCAATAATAAATTATTTCAGTTCTACCTCTGTGATGGTTATTGGGTTTCAGTCAAAGCAGTTTGCTTTACAACTGCCAGTTAACTACCAACTTCAGTTTAAACTAATATGCCTTCAAATCTGTCAAATTTCCGTTTTCAGTTCTAAATTGAAGTAAACACTACTTTTAATTAAAAATAACTTTTTTCTGGTAAGAGCTACCAGTTCGATAATGGAGGGAAAAAGCGTACCTTTGTTAGGAAATATAAAAAAATGCCTAGTTACGGTTTTCCTCTCGCTCTTGATTGTTTTACATGAACTTGGACTGTGGGGGCATACTTAGAAATTAGTTAATGTCGGTTGTCCACAACTGAGATAGGACATGTTGCAATTACAAACTAAACTTCTGACAGCCCATTTTTATCTTCCAACTTTGCGGAAGACCTTTTACCTGTTAAGAGTAAGTTAGATATTTAGTACCTTGTGACTGAAAATGGAGGCTACTGTTGAAAATTGATTTCATATTAGGTCCTGCCATGGCAGGCTGGAGACAGCAAGTCGAATTAACCATTCTCATCCAACAGTCAGCTGCTCGATCAGTTGTAAGATTTGCTGCGAGAACATTAAAACTATTTTGGAGGATGACTGAATTGGTCTTTTTCCTTTTGTTCCTTTATCTCTCACATGGTAACGACCTTCGCGTCATTCAATCCTATTGACTGTAATGTCCATAAGTAGACAATGTTTAGCTCTTCCCTTTATTGAGAAAACTGATAAAATCAGTTTCAAACGGCAAAATTTGAATTCAGGTAACCACATGGGCTTTCCTGTTGGCCCATTTGCAGTATTCTAATTAAAACGCACAGCATTTTTCATTATATTGATAGGGTATGCCTGCCGTGTTGTATTAATTATAAGGAAAGGAAGGCAGAAAAAGGCAGGTTTAAATTATAGCACTGTACGGGTAAAAACAACAACAACAACAAAAAAACAAACTGTAAGATATAAATACAATATAGAAAATAAGAATCACACGTCAAAAAAACTCCCTTTTTTCGTAAATTTAACAGAACTACGATCCCATAAAGAATTTATTAACACTAGTTTCCAGTCACAGTTGAGATCAATTCTGTAGTACCTTCCAAGCCGTCATATATAATTACTTGTTAAGGTCGACGTTTTTTCACATCTAGTTAGAAGCGGCAAGAAAGTATTTTCAGATGAATCAACAACGAATTAATATTAATAAATCTAACTATTAACATATGACCATTTAGCAATACCAACAGCTTCATTACAGTAGACCTTTCTACTTTGTATGTTTTGTTTTCCCATTTCAGACCCCCTGATGGTACATTTAATGTCGTATGTCCGTCCTAAACAGGTGCACCCAGATGCGTATGTATATATAATTAATTGCGGGCTCCTCTTGTCGCACGCAATCCTAATCTCCTGGTTGTTATTACGCATTCGTCGCATGTATGTAGCCAGCATTCGTTTGGACTTCCACCAAGAATGAACAGAACGCACTTTGATCACGCGCTTAAGACATTAGGCAAACTCTCTGGAGAACATCACGTGGTCTGAATTGGGACAAGAAAACATACAAGTCATACAAGCTTTCAGCCATAGGAGACAACAAGAGAATTATATAAGATACCGTAAAATTCCAAAAATAAGCCCCTCCATGTATAAGCCCCCCCCGAAATATAAGCCCCCCAAACTCGTAACGCAAAAAACCCTCCGTTTAATTGCCCCTCCAAATATAAGCCTTCCCGGGGGCTTGTACTTGGAAATTGCCCTCACATACAAAGTAAAACAAAGCAAAACAGTAAATTTCGTTCCAACTATAAGGCTAGCCCAATCGATTTTGAAACGCAAATTTTCCTCCGTAGATAAGCCCCTCCGAATACAAGCCCCTCCAAAAATAAGCCCCTCAAAAAGGGCCTTTGAAAAATATAAGCCTCGGGGCTTATTTTCGGAATTTTACGGTAAATCATTTGGACGGTCATCACGGCCATGGCAGATAAAGATGAAACCTGTTATGACACAATCTTGTTAATTTGGGAAACAAAAACAAACGATTTTGCACGGGTGGATAAGAGCTCCCAACATACATCGTAGCCTGAGTAGTAGGCCTCCGGTTGTTAACTGATCATGATATCTTAAGTTTTTCCTTACTTTCATAACCAGTGAGTTAATTTATACATGTTATTCACCGGCTGGGAGATCCGTATTGGGAGAAACTGTGCCCGAGGTCTTGAGTACGGCCTCGGGCGGTAGTCAGACCGAGGGCACAGTTTCTCACAATACAGACCAACCCAGGCTGGTGAATAACATTTTTATTTTTTTCCAACTGAGATGTAAAAGTTTCAGGAAAATTTTCCTTCACTGTCCGACCTATGTGTGTTGAAGTAGGACGCGTTAGTGTTGATGAAGCGCGCGATAAATTGCGAACCAAAACAAAACATTTTAACATGATTTTTAGCTAGGAACATTCTGAGTCATCAGCGAAGACAGGGGCACCCAACGACAATTTTCGGAAAATATCTGTTCGGAAGACGATTTGGGATCTAGAATTTTCGGAAAATTTTTTGTAAAATTTCTTGCCTGCCTCTCCTAGGATTTTCGAACATCTAAAAAATGGGATAATTGCCTATTTTTAACGGATTTTTACCGTAAAAAAGGTCACCTAGAATTTTCGGGAGCCTTTTTTCTGGCTGAAATTTTCGAAAAGGTAAGTTTTGATCCCTATAATTTTCGGATCACTAGACTTTCAGCTAGGAAATCCGAACAGATAAAAAGTCTTTAGGGGATAAAAATATGCCTATATCTACCGTTAAAATACTAAAATACGTTTAACAATGCTATCTTTAAGTGGTTTTGAACTATATTCTCGTTGGGTGCCCCTGCGAAGAGTGCGATACGATTCTGTATTACCGGCGAGAGATCGTTAACATAAACTAAAAACAGGAGAAGACCGAGGCTACTGCCCTAAGGGACTCCTGATGCAAGTGAAACCGTGGACGAAGCACCACTGACCGCTTCCACCTAGATTAGCTCTCGAACCACTGTAGAAGTTTCTTGCTGACTCTGTACCGGGAGAGTTTCAGAAGCAACCTTTGGTGGGAGACACTGTCGAAACCCTTTGCGAGATCCAAATACACAATGTCCGACTGCAGGCCCTTATCTAGAGACTGGCCAATCTCGTGATAAAACGCCAGCGACTGGGTGACCGTAGATCGACCCTGAAGGGAACCATGCTGTGCATTGTCAAACAAAGGACAGAGAAACTCCTTGAAGTGCTTGAATATGCATCCTTCTAATACTTTGGAAACAACGCACAATAGAGAGATGGGTTTGTAGTTAGTTACGTCCTTCTTTTTGCCTTTCTTATGAACGTGGACGACAAGGGCGCCTTTCCATGCGGTGGATAGTTTACCCTCCGCAAGAGATAAAACAGGGCGCAAAGAGTCTCCACTAGTTACTACCAGACAACACTACGCTTGCCTTTTTTATTATGCTCTTATCCATGATGCTCAATATTACAATTTGAAACGATTCATATTTGTTCCAACTCTACATTTTGAGATCGAAAGGGAAGAATACCTCGAGGTTTGGTTAAGCAATCTTTATATAAATGTTTAAACCCACTGCGAAACTTCTGATTGAAAGTGAGATACACAAATGGATTAATTGCACTGTAAGCAACTGTTAACCAAAGGATAAAGAAATTTGAATGAATATTCCCTGTATGAGGGTCACTTTTCAAAGGAGACTCTCCTCTAATTAGGCTCAGTGACATTATGATAAAGAAGGGAAGCCAGCACAGCTCATACAGTACCACAACAGCAATCATCATCCGGGTAACTTTTTTTGCTGTTTTAATGGCCTCTACTTGCCTCTCATTCTGATTGGCTCCTTCTCCTGGAACTCTGCGTGCCCATAGTTTAAGGCAAATAATTGTGTATAAAATAATGATTGCAACGAGAGGGACAACAACGTTCAGGACAAGACTAGTGAGGGAGAATTCTATCCATTCATAGTACACTTCATCAACTGTTTTGCAATAAACATACGTCCTGTCATTTCTTAAGCCTGTTAGGGCAAGGAAATTTGCCGCCGCAGAAATAGCTGACCAAACCCATAGTAACAGAACTGTTTTCTTGAAATGTCGAGATAAAGGAGAAACTTGAAAAGGTCGAGTAACGGCAAAAAACCGGTCAACAGCAATGGCAATAAGGATCCAGCCAGAAAACGCAGGTAGAATAAAGAGGCTGGCCCTTAACAACTTGCAAGTAATAATTCCAATTATTCCTTCAAACCACTTGTTCTCAAAGAAATATGTAGTATCATTCAGTAACTCCATCGTTGCTACCAGGATATCTGCACATGCTTGGTTTACAATCAAATAATTGGTTGTGGTCTTCATAGAATTGTCTTTTCGTACAATATGAATGATCACTGAATTACCAACTAATGAAACCAGAAATGCAAAGACGTAACCACCCACCAATATCTGCCTTAGAAACTGTTCAGCTAGTTGTTCATAATCTGTTCTTGACATGTTATCTGAACATAAAGAAAACAATTCTTTGTTAGGCCAGCTGAGATAAATGTAACCCGTTCAATCTGCGTTATACGCTGGCCAGTATCATGTAGAAGACCTTATGATCTTTTCTCAATTGTGCAGTGCATAGAGTCGCTAAAGGGCGATGAAAGGGTACCTAAAAATGATTTCTAGTAGAGGAACCTCACTAGCAGTCAGGAAATGTGTCACAGGCCTTGGCTTCAGTTGCTTCTCGACCAGTTTGTGTTCAACGCACTGTTGGTCACGTGATCAACAAACACTAAACCTATAATTTTCTGACATTCCAAAAGCATGTTTCAATTAGCAAGTATTCCAAGTTCTAGACTAGTGAGGTACAGCGGTGCGCAGGCTATGCCCCTTATAAATTAAAACGTTTTGTATTGGGCGACAAAGGTCTTGCTGAGCTGTAAAGTACAAATAGCATATCGATTTCAGATCATGATGGGCAAAATCCAAACCATAGTCAGACCAAAACGGCTTAAAAACTACACCTTAAATCAGCACATACCTATATAACTTAAACCGAGGTAGCCCCTCCCCCCCCCCCCAACCCCCACCCGTGTCTCTTCTCTGGTAATGGAATATGTAGATAGAATGTAGTACCTTGTAAATATTTCATTTTTGCTACTATCATGGTTGCGGGATTTCATGATCAGTCAAAGCAGTTTGCTTTACAGCTGTCAGTTAACTGCCAACTCATTTAAAACTAAGATCCTTTCATATTTATTAAATTCTGACCTGATGAAGTAAACACTACTTTTTAATTAAAATAGCTTTTCTCTGGTGAGTGCTACAAGTTCGCAAAGAGAGAAAGCTAGCTTTGTTACGAAATAAAATTAAAAGCAATATGCCAAATGATCTTTCTCGCACTTGATTGTTTACTACAAATTGTTTATAACAAACATTTATAAAACTTTCTTAACGTGAGTGCATGCTTAGAAATTAGATAATGCTAGTGCATGATTTCCTTAGTCTACAATTGAGTAGGGGAAAAATGTAGTTTTAAAGTAAACCCGTAAACTCCTCGTAGCCCATATTTATCTCCCAATTTTGCGAGAGATCTTTTACTTGGTGAGAGTTGGACATTTAGTACCTTGTGGCTGAAAATCGAGGCTGCTGTTGAAAATTGATCTCATATCGCGTCGTGCTTTAGCAGGCTAGAGACAGCAGTTTCTTCTGATCCTTCTCAGCCGAAGACTTTTCTGCTCAACTGTACCAAAAAATGACTTTTTGTTTTTGTTTTTGCATGAATTTTTTGTTCTTTTATCTCCCAAGATAATGGTCTTAGCGGGGTTCATACTACTGTATTGACTGTAGTGGCCATTACTTGACAATGCCTCTGCATGACCATTTCCTATATCACGAAAAACCTGATAAAATCAGTCAGTTTTAATTAAATATAAGGGCAAAAATTGAATTAAGTCATATCGGTATCTTAATTAAAACGTGCAGTCCTTTTTTATCATTAAAAGGCCTCTCTGAAACAGCATGCTTGCGGTGAAAAAAGTAGGTTTTTCTGTTTTCAAAAAAAAAAACAGCAAACGGTATTATATATGTACAATTTATAAAAAAAAAAGGATCGCAGGTTAAATAAATACCCTCTTTTCTTAAATTTAAGGTAACTTTGATTCGACAACGAGAGTTTATTTAGCAGTAACAAGAATGAAATCTGCCGTACCTCATATAATAATCATAACAATTACCAAGTCGACGCTTTTCACATAACATAACATAACATAACATAACATAAAACTTTATTTAAACTCGAATTTTAGAGTAGCTAACAAGCTAATATCTTCGAGCTGACACTACATAAAAACTATATAGAAAATATATATATACATTAAATGCAAGGAAAGAAAATATCATTTACAATTCACAATTTTAAGTTTAAGTATGTCAGGCAAAAAGAATCTACATCAAGGTAACATCCTGTATTTTAGTCTTAAAGTCTGCAAAAAAACTGGTACGAAAAAAAAGTCCGGCAGTGCATTCCACTGCTTAGCTGAAAAGTAAGAAAAGACCATAGGTAGTTGTTTTAGGTTTACTTAGTGAAAGAATGTAGTTGCCACGAAGATCATAGGAAGAGGACCGGAGTGAAAACATATTCTTCATATAAGTAGGAAAATGAGTGAAAAACAAACTCTTATATAACAGAATGAGGAAATTTTGAATGCGTTTGTTAAACAAAGAAGTAGAGCTGACTTTTGAGAGAAGAGTGTTGTATGGAGACGAGTAATCTCCAAGTATAAATCTAAGTATTCTTTTATTTAAAGCTTCGAGCTTATCCGCATCGCGCGCTCCACAAAAGTGCCAGACAGAGGAGCAATAATAAAAGTGAGGTAAAATATACGCTTTGTAAAGTTTGAATAAGATTTCCTTGCGTATGAGTTTTCTAAAGCGCAACATAACATTAAATTGATTATTAATCTTTTTTGCATACATTTGATATATGTTTAGAAAAATTCAGATTATTATCTATTTCCATTCCAAAAATCTCTAACGTGTCCTTTACTGGGAAGGAAAAACCATACTCCGTATCACCGAGGATTAGACACTGGTGCTTGCTCTCATTAACTAACATCCCATTTTCATGGTACCACTGATTGGCCACGCCAACATCATGAGATACGCATGCATCCAGAGCTGCCGGATCGACGTGGGAGTAGTATACCTGATGATCATCCGCATAAGCGTTCAACTTGGCCTTCTTGACGTGGAAGAAAAGATCGTTTATGAAAATGTTGAATAGCATGGGACCTAACACACTCCCCTGCGGGACCCCACGCTTGACGCTTTCCCAGGTCGAAAAGGTGTCTCCAACTTTAACTCTCTGAGTTCTGCTAGAGAGATAGTTCCTAATTAGGGTACAACTTTTGTCGTCCATACCATAGGCCCTCAGTTTCGAAAGGAGGAGTGGATACTGAATAACATCAAACGCTTTGGAGAGATCCATAGAAAATACCGCAACAAGCTCCCCCCTCTCACGCATCATTCTCCAGTCCTCGGTCAACCTTAGCAAAGAGGTCTCGCAACTATAAAACTTTCTATAAGCACTTATGAATTCTGATAAGACCCCATTGTAAAATTCATACATCTGCCCCGATAGAAGCCTTTCAAAAATATTGTTTAGAGCAGGGAGCACAGTTACGGGCCTATAGTTGATCTTACAAAACTCGTCGTCTTTTTTGTACAGAGGAGTAACCATGCCCATCTTCCAGCTAGTAGGATAACAGCAATGTTCAATGCAACAGTTTATTATACTTGTTATAGGCCGCGCAATAACAGCTGCCGCTTCTTTAATCAACTTTGGTGGGATCATATCGTGACCAGGTGACTTACGTACATTGATCTCTTTTAGTAATAGCTCAACCTGGGTTTCACTTGCGCGATGAAAACTGAAGCAAGCTGGAGCACTAGAGCCCCTGTGTTCATGGATTGCTTTGATGCTGGGATGATTTGCATAATCCTCACCGTAATCCTCTGCTCGTATTTCAGGCATGCTGTCAGCAATGTGAACAAAGTAGTCATTAAGCAGATTGGCAATCTCCTTTTTGTCACTAATAATCCTGTCATTTTCTTTCAAGATAATGTCATTGGCTTGCTTACTTTTAGTATGCAAAAAGGGGCGGAAAGTAGACCAGAATTCGCGCGGGTGTTCGGTGTCTGCTGTTTTCCTCGCGAAGTGTTGTTTTATTGCTTTTCGCCTAAGAGAGGTGCAGGTATTACGTTGAATTTTGTATGCCTCGTAATTTGCATCAGTACGATTGCGCGTGAATTTTTTCCACAGTTTGTTGCGATGCCTGATCGCCCTCCTCCATATTGTTCCGTCATATAAGGCACCTGATTACCACGCATCATTGTTTGCTTGATAGGTGCGTGTTCATTGAGAACACTTAGAAACAATTGCTCAAATGCATAAAAAGCTTATCATCAAGTTCATCAAACAAATCAATTATGTGGAAAGGCACAATTTGCATATCATGCACAAAAGTTCTCTCGACTGAAGTTTTTCAGACTACGAAAACAAATCTTGCGAGATCGAGTCCTTGGTGCTGATGATCGCAGGATAGTATAAACCAACGAATGATCACTAAGTTGCGTGTCTACCACGCCTGATGTTTAGACCTTTTTCTTGTCATTCGTCAGGATTAAGTCAAGCAGTGTTTCAGTTGTTTTTGTTGTGCGAGTTGGTTCCGTAATCAAACAATCAAGATTAAAAATATCTAGCAGATCTAGTAGAGCCCGACCGTCTCTGTGTTGTTTATCAGGAGCAAGAAGGTCCGCGTTTAAGTCTCCTGCTAGGAAAACTGCTTCGAAGAGAACAGAGAGTTCACGCGTCCACTGAGATCTCACAATCGAGGGAGGTCGGTAAATGCCCACAACAGTAATTCAAGTCTTCGGTAGTTTGACTTTCAAAACAATCGACTCCGTCTTAAAGGTTGACCATGTATCGGAAGAGAGCCCTTTGAGCTCTTTAACTCTAATAAAGCAGATATCACTCCTTACGAACACCATCAATCCACCTCCTCCAGCCTTTCTGTCACGACGACTCAAACGAAAACCTTCAACGTGAAACATAGAGTTAGGGAAAGTAGCATCTACACCTAGCTAGAGCAGGCTCGAAAGTATTTTCAGATATCTGTTCACAAAAAATATTGTTAAAAAAACTTAACTATTTACATATCACTATTTAGCAATACCAACAGCTTACGGATTATTATACGTTTCTGGGAAACTGCCCACCTACCCTTCCCCTAAGCCAACTTAACACTTAGTTCTCACTTAGGGCAAATGTTGGCTTAGGGGAAGGGTAGGTCAATATCAGAATTAACTGAAATATCAGAATAACTGCTTGAAAATGAGCCGTAGAAGACAACAAGAGAATTACACAAGAAAACTCATTTGGACAGGTCACTACGGCTATATTAAATGAAAATCTTTTATAATAACAATTTGTGAGACAAAAACAAAAGATTTTGCACTTGTCATTAGGGAGCTCAAAACATAAACTGCAGCAAATGCAGTTGTTTACCAGTTTACTGACATCTTTATAACCCTATGTAAGGGAATGCGGGTTCCAAAAGCCTGGAACATTTTGCTTGTGGGGGAATCCGACATCCGGCTCCTGGGCTTTGGAACCCGGAATACAGCTCAAGGAATCGGGATTCCAAGTTCCACTGACAAAGAATCCTGAATCCAGAACCTTTAATCCGGAATCACATGCGCAAAATCCAGAATCCAAGACTGTCTTGGATTCCCTTTCATAAGGTCATCATAAATGTTTGCTGACTTTATAAGCAGTGAGTCTCCTCTAATTTACACTACCCAACAAAATAATGTTTGCCTTTTTTAATTATGCTATCGTCCGTGTCCAGTATTACAATTTGAAACGATTCATATTTGTTCCAACTCTACATTTTGGGATCGAAAGGGAAGAATACCTCGAGGTTTGGTTAAGCAGTCTTTATATAAATGTTTATCCCATTGCGAAACTTCTGATTGAAAGTGAGACACAAATGGATTAACTGCACTGTAAGCAAATGTTAACCAAACGATGAAGAAATTTAAATGAATATTCCCTGTTGGAGGGTCACTTTTCAAAGGAGACTCTCCTCTAGTTAAGCTCATTAACATTGTGATAAAGTATGGAAGCCAACACAGCTCATACAGTACCACAACAGCAATCATCATCCGGGTAACTTTTTTTGCTGTTTTTATGGCCTCTACTTGCCGCTCATTCCGATTGGCTCCTTCTCCTGGAACTTTACGTGCCCATAGTTTAAGGCAAATTATTGTGTATAGAATAATGACTGCAACGAGAGGGACAACGACGTTCAGGACAAGACTAGTGAGGAAGAATTCTCTCCACCAGTAATACACTTTCTCAACCGTTTCGCAAAAATCAGAAGTTTTTTCCTTTACTAAGCCGATTAGGGCGAGGATATTAGCCGCAGACACAGCTGACCAAACCCAGAGAAACACCACTGTTTTCTTGAAATGTCGAGATAAAGGAGAAACTTGAAAAGGTCGAGTAACGGCAAAAAACCGGTCAACAGCAATGGCAACAAGGATCCAAACAGAGAAAGCAGAAAGAATAAAGGGACTGGCCCTCAACAACTTGCAAGTAATAATTCCAAGTATTCCTTCAAACTACCTGTCCTCGAAGTAGTATGTAATATCATTCAATGACTCAGTCGTTGTTACCAGGATATCTGCACACGCTTGGTTTACAATCAAATAATTCGTTGTGGTCTTCATAGAATTGTCTTTTCGTACAATATGAATGATCGCTGAATTACCAAATAATGAAACCAAAAATGTAATGAGGGAACGACTTGCCAATAGCTGCCTAAGTAACTGTTGATCTGTTGTTGACATGTTATCTGAACATATAAGCAAAACAATTCTTTGTTAGGCCAGCTGAGATAAATGTAACCCATTAGAATCTGCGTTATACGCTGGTTATCATGTAGAAGACCTTATGATCTTTTCTCAATTGTGCAGTGCATAGAGTCGCTAAAGGGCGATGAATTAAAGGGTACCTAAAAATGATTTCTAGTAGAGGAACCTCACTAGCAGCCAGGAAATGTGTAACAGGCCTTGGCTTCAGTTGCTTCTCGACCAGTTTGCGTTCAACGCACTGTTGGTCACGTGATCAACAAACTGACTATAAACAATTATTGGATGAGGTTTTTGTGATATCCGGAAAAATCAAGGTCGAGGTAAGTGTTATCAGCCGAAGGCTAAGGCTGATAACACTAACCGAGACCTTGATTATTCCGGATATCACAAAGACCGAATCTAATAATTGTTTTATTATACTTTATCTTCAAGTAATTTCTCAATTTCTTGCTGGGTCGATGAAGCGAATCGAGAAGCCATTCTTACTTCGCTGTCCGTGAACTTGACATTGCTGTCCGTGCACTTGACATTGCTCTTGGAAATCACGCATTGCGCGCGCAACCTACAGATTATTCACTAATCTGTAGGTACAGATTAGTGAAATAATCTGTAGGTTGCGCTGTTTCCCAGAATTAACTGTAGGCTTTTAGCCAATGAGAAGACAGATGTTGACTACAATGTATAAAAAACCCTATAATTTTCAGAAATTCCAAAAGCATATTTCAGTTAGCAAGTACTCCACGTTCTAGACCAGTGAGGTACAGCGGTGCGCAGAATATGCCCCCTTATAAATTAAAACGTTTTGTATTGGGCGACCAAGGTCTTGCTGAGCTGTAAAGACACATACATTCATATGTTTCCTTAAGAACCATACCTATTTCAGATCATAATGGGCGAAATCCAAAACCTTTGTCAGACCAAAACAGCTCAAAAACTACTCCTTAATTAATTCAGCATATACCTATATAACTTAAACCGTAGGTAGCCCACACCCGTGCCTCTTCTCTGGTAATAGAATATGTAGAATGTAGTACCTTATAAATATTTTATTTTTTGCTACTGTGATGGTTGCAGGATTTCAGTCAAAGGAGTTTGCTTTACAGCTGTCAGTTAACTACCAACTCATTCAAAACTAAGATGCTTTCATATTTATTAAACTCTGAACTGATGAAGTAAACACTACTTTTTAATTAAAATAGCTTTTTTCTGGTGAGTGCTACCAGTTCACAAAGAGAGAAAGATAGCTTTGTTACGAAATAAAATTGCCAAATGATCTTTCTCGCACTTGATCGTTTACTACAAATTGTTTATAACCAACATTTATAAAACTTCCTTTAAGTGGGTGCATGCCTAGAAATTAGATAATGCTATTGCATGCTTTCCTTAGTCTACAATTGAGTAGGGGAAAATGTAATTATAAAGTAAACTCCTCGTAGCCCATATTTATCTCCCAATTTTGCGAGAGATCTTTTACTTGGTGAGAATTGGACATTTAGTACCTTGTGGCTGAAAATCGAGGCTGCTGTTGAAAATTGGTCTCATATCGGGTCGTGCTTTGGCAGGCTAGAAACAGCAGGTTCTTCTGATCCTTTTCAGCCGAAAACTTTTCTGCTCAACTGTACAAAACAATGACATTTTTGTTTTTGTTTTTGCATGGATTTTTTGTTCTTTTATCTCCCAAGATAAAGGTCTTAGCGGGGTTCATACTACTGTATTGACTGTAGTGGCCATTACTTGACAATGCCTCTGCATGACCATTTCCTATATCAGGAGAAACCTGAGAAAATCAGTCAGTTTTAATTAAATATAAGGGCAAAAATTGAATTAAGTTAAGTCTGAGTGTGCCTTGCTGTTTGTCCAATATCAGTATCTTAATTAAAACGTGCAGTCTTTTTTATCCTTAAAAGGTCTCTTTGAAACAGCATGCCTGCGGTGATATATTAATTAGAGGGAAAGAAAAAGGCTGAAAAAGGTAGGCTTTTCTGTTTTCAAAAACAACAGCACGCAGTATTATATATGTTCAATTTGTAATTAAAAAAAAAGGATCGCAGGTTAAATAAATACCCTCTTTTCTTAAATTTAAGGTAACTTTGATTCGATAACGAGAGTTTATTTAGCAGTAACAAGAATGAAATCTGCCGTACCTTATATAAAAATCATGATAATTTCCAAGTCGACGCTTTTCACATTTAGCTAGAGCAGTCTCGAAATATTTTCAGATAACTCTTCACAACAAATATTGTTAAAAAAACTTAAGTATTTACATATCACTATTTAGCAATACCAACAGCTTACGGATCACTATGCGCTTCTGCGAAACTGCCTACCTACTCCTCCCCTAAGCCAACACTAACATTTAGTTCTCACTTAGGACAAAATGTTGCCTTAGGGGAAGGGTAGGTCAATATTGGAATTAACTGAAATATCAAAATAATTGCTTGAAAATCAGCCGTAGAAGACAACAAGAGAATTATACAAGAAAACTCATTTGGACGGGTTACCACGACTATATTAGATTAAAATCTGTTATATCAATTTGTGAGACAAAAACGAAAGATTTTGCACTTGTCATTAGGGAGCTCAAAACATAAACTGCAGCAAATACAGTTGTTGACCTGTTTACTAACATCATTTATAGCCCCATGTAAGAGAATCCGGGTTCCGCCGGAAGCCGGGAAAATTTTTGCTTGTGGGGGAGTACGAGATCCCGCTCCAGGGCTTTGGAATCCGGAATACAGCTTAAGTAATCAGGAATCCAAGTTCCACTTACAAAGAATCCTGAATACAAAACCTTTAATCCAGAATCATTGACGCAAAATCCAGAGTCCAAGATTGTCTTGGATTCCCTTACATAGGGCCCGGGGGTGGAATCCCATATGAAAGGGGCGGGGATGCTCGTCGAAATTTGGAATGCAACCCCTAAAGGAGACCAATCTGGGCGTGGCCCAACCTTTTTTGACCCCTAACTGAGCGATCATTTTAAACTTTAATTACATGAATCTAGTAAATAAAAAGAATTGAAAATGTATAATTTTTTAATATTTCTTCGAGTGCAATCTAAAATATAACGGTGTTTAGCCCAGAACACCCGAAGCGAGACCAAAATCTGAAATTACACCCCTAAGCGAGACGACGAGCATCCCCGTCCCTTTCATATGAGAGTTCCCCCGCCGTGACATAGGGTCATCATTAACTTCTGCTGACTTTCATAACCAGAAAGGCTCCTCTAATTTATATACCCAACAAAATAATGTTTGCCTTTTTTAATTATGCTATCGTCCGTGTCCAGTATTACAATTTGAAACGATTCATATTTGTTCCAACTCTACATTTTGGGATCGAAAGGGAAGAATACCTCGAGGTTTGGTTAAGAAATTTTTATATAAATGTTTAAACCCATTGCGAAACTTCTGATTGAAAGTGAGATACACAAATGGATTAACTGCACTGTAAGCAATTGTTGACCAAAGGATGAACAAATATAAATAAATATTTCCTGTAGGAGGGTCACTCGTGATCATTGAATGAGACTCCCCTTTAATTAAGGTCATTAACATTATGATAAAGTATGGAAGCCAGCACAGCTTATACAAAACCACCACAGCAATCATCATCCGGGTAACTTTTTTTGCTGTTTTAATGGCCTCTACTTGCCGCTCATTCTGATTTGCTCCTTCTCCTGGAACTTTGCGTGCCCATAGTTTAAGGCAAATAATTGTGTATAGAATAATGATTGCAACGAGAGGGACAACGACGTTCAGGACAAGACTAGTGAGGGAGAATTCTCTCCACCCGTAATATACTTTATCACCTGTTTCGCAAAAATCATAAGTTTTTTCCTTTCTTAAGCCGATTAGGGCGAGGACATTAGCCCCAGACACAGCTGACCAAACCCATAGAAAAACAACTGTTTTCTTGAAATGTCGAGATAAAGGAGAAAATTGGAAAGGTCGAGTAACGGCAAAAAACCGGTCAACAGCAATGGCAACAAGGATCCAAACAGAGAAAACAGGAAGAATAAAGGGACTGGCCCTCAACAACTTGCAGGTAATAATTCCAATTATTCCTTCAAACCACTTGTTCTCAAAGTAGTATGTAGTATAATTCAATAAATCCAGCGTTGTTACCAGGATATCTGCACATGCTTGGTTTACAATCAAATAATTGGTTGTGGTCTTCATAGAATTGTCTTTTCGTACAATATGAATGATCACTGAATTACCAAATAATGAAACCAAAAATGTAATAACGTAACCGCCTACCAACACCTGCCCAAGTAACTGTTGATCTGTTGCTGACATGTTATCTGAACATATAAGCAAAACAATTCGTTGTTAGGCCAACTGAGATAAATGCAACCCATTCAATCTGCGTTATACGCTGGCCAGTATCATGTAGAAGACCTTATGATCTTTTCTCAATTGTGCAGTGTATACAGTCGCTAAAGGGCGATTAAAGGATGCCTACAAATGATTTCTAGTAGAGGAACCTCACTAGCAGCCAGGAAATGTGTAACAGGCCTTGGCTTCAGTTGCTTCTCGCCCAGTTTGTGTTTAACGTACTGTTGGTCACGTGATCAACAAACACTAAACCTATAATTTTCAGAAATTCAGAAGCATGTTTCAATTAGCAAGTATTCCATGTTCTAGACCAGTGAGGTACAGCGGTGCGCAGAATATGCCCCCTTATAAATTAAAACGTTTTGTATTGGGCGACCAAGGTCTTGCTGAGCTGTAAAGACACATACATTCATATGTTTCCGTAAGAACCATACCTATATTTCAGATCATAATGGGCGAAATCCAAAACCTTTGTCAGACCAAAACAGCTCAAAAACTACTCCTTAATTCAGCACCTACCTATATAACTTAAACCGTAGGTAGCCCACACCCGTGTCGCTTCTCTGGTAATAGAATATGTAGAATGTAGTACCTTATAAATATTTTATTTTTGCTACTGTGATGGTTGCAGGATTTCAGTCAAAGGAGTTTGCTTTACAGCTGTCAGTTAACTGCCAACTCATTCAAAACTAAGATGCTTTCATATTTATTAAACTCTGAACTGATGAAGTAAACACTACTTTTTAATTAAAATAGCTTTTTTCTGGTGAGTGCTACCAGTTCACAAAGAGAAAGCTAGCTTTGTTACGAAATAAAATTGTCAAATGATCTTTCTCGCACTTGATCGTTTACTACAAATTGTTTATAACCAACATTTATAAAACTTTCTTAAAGTAGGTGCATGCTTAGAAATTAGATAATTCTATTGCATGCTTTCCTTAGTCTACAACTGAGTAGGGGAAAAATGTAATTATAAAGTAAACTCCTCATAGCCCATATTTATCTCCCAAATTTTGCGAGAGATCTTTTACTTGGTGAGAGTTGGACATTTAGTACCTTGTGGCTGAAAATCGAGGCTGCTGTTGAAAATTGATCTCATATCGCGTCGTGCTTTAGCAGGCTAGAGACAGCAGTTTCTTCTGATCCTTCTCAGCCGAAGACTTTTCTGCTCAACTGTACCAAAAAATGACTTTTTGTTTTTGTTTTTTCATGGATTTTTGTTCTTTTATCTCCCAAGATAATGGTCTTAGCGGGGTTCATATTACTGTATTGACTGTAGTGGCCATTACTTGAGAATGCCTCTGCAGGACCATTTCTTATATCAGGAGAAGCCTGATAAAATCAGTCAGTTTTAATTAAATATAAGGGCTAAAATTGAATTAAGTTAAGCTTGAGTGTGCCTTGCTGTTTGTCCAATATCGGTATCTTAATTAAAACGCACAGTCTTTTTTATCATTTCAAGGTCTCACTGAAACATCATGCCTGCGGTGATATATTAATTAGACGGAAAGAAAAAGGCTGAAAAAGGTAGGTTTTTCTGTTTTTAAAAACAACAGCACGCAGTATTATATATGTACAATTTGTAATTTAAAAAAAAGGATCGAAGGTTAAATAAATATTTGTTTTATGTTTTACAAGCTTTTCTGTACACAGGCCTGCCTAGGGGGGAAGAGGCGCGAACGGGACTCATAGGTCCCATGCAAGGTGCCATCCCTACCCAATCCCGCAACCCGTAAAGGTTGGCCACACCACCGGGGTCTACGTCCCCTACTGTTTTCGAACAGGAGTGTGGGTTCTTTTACGTCCCACAAGAACAGATCAGTGAAAGTGCTGTGAGACGGGACCTACGGTTTTTCGTCCTTATCCGAGAAGACTAGAAAGTCTAACCATTTGCAGATGTCATTACAAAGGCAGCACTTTCTTCTCAGTTATTTAAAGACCCTAAGTGTTGGTCCGGCCGGGGTTTGAACCCGCGACCTCCCGCTCAGCAGACAGGTGCTCTCCCAACTGAGCTAAACAGGCGGCGGCTAAATACCCTCTTTTCTTAAATTTAAGGTAACTTTGATTCGATAACGAGAGTTTATTTAGCAGTAACAAGAATGAACTCTGCCGCACCTTTCATAATAATCATAATAATTTCAAGTCGACGCTTTTCACATCTAGCTAGAGCAGGCTCGAAAGTATTTTCAGATAACTTTTCACAACAAACATTGTTCAAAAAACTTAACTATTTACATATCAGTATTTAGCAATACCAACAGCTTACGGATCATTATACGTGTCTGGGAAACTGCCTACCTACCCCTCCCCTAAGCCAACATTAACACTTAGTTCTCACTTAGGGCAAATGTTGGCTTAGGGGAAGAGTAGGTCAATATCAGAATTAACTGAAATATCAAAATAATTGCTTGAAAACTAGCCGTAGAAGACAAGAAGAGAATTATACAAGAAAACTCATTTGGACGGGTCACCACGACTATGTTAGATAAAAATCTGTGATATCAATTTGTGAGACAAAAACAAAAGATTTTGCACTGGTCTTTAGGGAGCTCAAAACATAAACTGCAGCAAATGCAGTTGCTTACCTGTTTACCGACATCTTTATAGCCCCATGTAAGGAAATCCGGATTCCGCAGGAATCCGGGAAAATTTTGCTTGTGGAGGAATCCGGGATCCGGCTCAAGGGGTTTGGATTCTGGATTACAGCTCAACGAATCGGGAATCCAAGTTCCACTGACAAAGAATCCTGAATCCAGAACCTTTATTCCCGAATCATTGGCGCAAAATCCAGAATCCAAGGCTGTCTTGGATTCCCTTACATAGGGCCCGGGGGCGGGGGCGAAGACTCCCATATGAAAGGGGCGGGGATGCTCGTCGCGGAAATTTTGAATTAAACCCCTAAAGGAGACCAATCTGGGCGTGGCGAAACCTTTTTTGGACCCATAACTGAGCGATCATTTTGAACTTTGATTACATGAATCTAGTCAATCTAGTAAATAAAAGGAATTGAAAATATATAATTTTTTTATATTTCTTCGAGTGCAATCCTAAAAGAGACCTTTACGGCTAAATATAATGGTGTTTTGCCCAGAACACCCAAAGCGAGACTAAAATCTGAAATTACACCCCTAAGCGAGACGACGAGCATCCCCGCCCCTTTTATATGGGAGTTCCCCCGCCGGGACATAGGGTCATCATTAGCTTTTGCTGACTTTCATAACCAGTGAGTCTCTAATTTATACTATCCAACAAAATAATGTTTTTTTTAATTATGCTATCGTCCGTGTCCAGTATTACCATTTGAAACGATTCATATTTGTTCCAACTCTACATTTTGGGATCGAAAGGGAAGAATACCTCGAGGTTTGGTTAAGCAATTTTTATATAAATGTTTAAACCCATTGCGAAACTTCTGATTGAAAGTGAGATACACAAATGGATTAACTGCACTGTAAGCAAATGTTAACCAAACGATGAATAAATGTAAATAAATATTTCCTGTAGGAGGGTCACTCGTGATCATTGAATGAGACTCCCCTTTAATTAAGGTCATTAACATTATGATAAAGTATGGAAGCCAGCACAGCTTATACAAAACCACCACAGCAATCATCATCCGGGTAACTTTTTTTGCTGTTTTTATGGCCTCTACTTGCCGCTCATTCCGATTGGCTCCTTCTCCTGGAACTTTGCGTACCCATAGTTTAAGGCAAATAATTGTGTATAGAATAATGATTGCAACGAGCGGGACAACGATGTTCAGGACAAGACTAGTGAGGGAGAATTCTGTCCACCTGTAATATACTCTATCAACTGTTTCGCAAAAATCATAAGCTTCTTCCTCTCTGATGCCGATTAGAGCGAGGACATCAGCCGCAGACACAGCTGACCAAACCCATAGAAAAACAACTGTTTTCTTGAAATGTCGAGATAATGGAGAAACTTGAAAAGGTCGAGTAACGGCAAAAAACCGGTCAACAGCAATGGCAACAAGGATCCAAACAGAGAAAACAGAAAGAATAAAGGCACTGGCCCTCAACAACTTGCAGGTAATAATTCCAATTATTCCTTCAAACCACTCGTCCTCAAAGTAGTATGTAATATCATTCAATAACTCCATCGCTGTTACCAGGATATCTGCACATGCTTGGTTTACAATCAAATAATTGGTTGTGGTCTTCATAGAATTGTCTTTTCGTACAATATGAATGATCACTGAATTACCAAATAATGAAACCAAAAATGTAATGACGTAACGGCTTGCCAATAGCTGCCCAAGTAACTGTTGATCTGTTGTTATGTTATCTGAACATAAGCAAAACAATTCTTGTTAGACTAGCTGAGATAAATGTAACCCATTCAATCTGCGTTATACGCTGGCTAGTATCATGTAGAAGCCCTCTTATGATCTTTTCTCAATTTTGCAGTGCATATAGTTTGCTTAAAAGGGCGATGAAAGGGTACCTAAAAATGATTTCTAGTAGAGGAACCTCACTAGCAGCCAGGAAATGTGTAACAGGCCTTGGCTTCAGTTGCTTCTCGTCCAGTTTGTGTTTAACGTACTCAGCTGAGGCCTAGGCCAAACGTCGAACTTTTCTTGTGACCAACTAAACTAAGTGAGTTCACGAAAAGTTCGACGTCTGGGTCAGCTAAGTTCGTCTGAATGAGTTTGGATCGTCCAACAAGTTCTATTTGTCTGCTCAGCAGACGGACTAACTTATGAAGATCCTCTCCGGGACAAA